AAAAAAAAAATCCATCCATATATTTGTGTGAGAAAAAAGTAGCGGCTTATAGTCCAGAAAATTACAGTACTTCTGTATTTCACATTTTAAAGACAGTAAAAATGTGGTTATTTGTTGTTATATAAAAGAGCTGAACAAAAGAGTGTGAGTATAAACATAAAATAGAAAGCCATTCACAATCACCATTCTGTTCCTATTTTATCCACACCCTGTGCAATTCCTTCACCTGTTTAAAGCTCTGCGCGTCCTGTGGTTTGTGTGTGTGTGTGCGTCTCTGTATGTGTAATAGGTCTCAGCGGGACAGAGGCTGGGATGACTTAGCCTCCTGCAGACAGCTCACAACAGCTCAGGGAAACTCGCGGGCCCGGTTTAGAGCCCATCTGTGCTCTGTCAGGTACATCGCTCCTTTGCTTCCATGTTTGGTTCCTCCTGGTTTGTTTTACTGCACGACCACTGTACTATACGTGCGCTGTGTGCAACTCAAGGCACTGTCAAGTTGTCAAAGATCTTACACCCTGACGCACATTTTCACAGGTGAAGTCTGTTTAGAGCAGAAGTGTCATTTTCCCCATGGCTTTATGCACTTTTTACAGCTCCGACTTCTACATGGGATTTTCAGACTTTATCAGATAGCAGTGTCTTTTATTCACTTTTGAGCTGCCTAAAATATTTACAAGATTTATAATTTTTTTTCATAAACCACTGTCGAGTAATGAAAAGCAATATATTCTAATAAACTCTAATGTTGTTGGGCTGGGTATCACTAAGAAGTTGCCGATATGATACACATAGGCCACGATACGATACGTATCTCGATACATAGGCCAGGATACGATACATACCTCGATACATAGGCCACGATACGATACATATCTCGATACATAGGCCACGATACGATACATGTCTCGATACATAGGCCACAATACGATACATATCTCGATACATAGGCCACGATGCAATACATGTCTCTATACATAGGCCACGATACTATACATACCTCGATAAATACGATACGATACATACCTCGATACATAGGCCATGAAATGATACATTTCTCGATACATAGGCCATGATACAATACATACCTCGATACATAGGTCATGATATGATTCATATCTCGATACACAGGCAACGAAACGATACATATCTCGATACACAGGCAACGAAACAATACATACCTCAATACACAGGCCACGATACAATACATATCTCGATACAGTGCATTTTCGATTCGATGCGATGTATTTCAAATCAGTTCTATCATGGCCGTGATGCTAAAAGTCTTTTTTTCTGTAAAGTTATTATGAAACACAAACATTTTAACCCGATTCAAAGCGCGGGACACATTTTGAAAGCTCACTGCGGGCACGGTCACGGGCAAGAGCGGGACTTGACAGTGCGAGAGCGGGCAGGTGGGAAGATAAACTGCAGTCTCGCGAACTAACTATGAGTGTAAAGTAAAATATACAAATGATTCGTGTTTGCCTATCTCTCGGGATGACATTATCACAATATACATCTCACAGTATGATATTTATTGCGATATTTTGGAGAGGCTGATATAATTGTAGATAGAACACATTTTTGCTTTTAAAATACCTTAACAAGATTTTGATGCGAATCATTACTGTCATAATCCTAAGAATTCAAGCAAAAACCATATAACTTCATGTTGTCTGTGCTGCAATGAATCATGGGATATATAGTTCCCTATGATTCAATATATTGTCACGCTCCATGGCATTATTGTGAGACTTTTGACGAAACAATATCATGATATTTCTGTTATTGTTTACATCCCTACCTATCATGCATCATTTGTGCTGGATATTTTATTTGGCATTAATAAAAACGTTTTAAGCAGTCTAAACTTGCGGACGTAGTCTAATCTCACGCACATTTTAGACAATTCCTTTACGCTTCTCCATGTTTGATAGCGCTTAAGAAAGTGAACTTCCCCATTTTGCGAGACTTGTGGGCGAGAGTGGAACGAAACATTGCAGATGCGGGCGGGAGCGGGACTGAATATGTCATGAAAATACAGTAAAGTATATTTACATTGTTAACATGTGTTTGCTGCTGCTGCCACCGCCGCCATCTTCAGAACTGTCACCGGTGTTGGTGGTGACGTGTCGTATATCAGCTGTTGTTACTTCTTGTAGGTGTGGTCAGCCTGATGGACCAGGCAGGTCGCTCAGACTGACCACGCCTCCTGTCGCCGATGTTCTCTGGAGGAGGGTGTCCCAGGTGTGTGAAAACCACAAATTCAAACGCTGGATCAGGGAGGCCATTGAAATCAGGAAACTGTGCACAGACAGTATTAACCATGATGACAGAGCGTTTCTCTTTTCACACACCTGGACACCCTCCTCCAAAGAACACTGGGCGAAGAGAGGCGTGGTCAGTCTGAGCGACCTGTCAGGTCCATCAGGCTGACCACGCCTACAGGAAGTAACAACAGCTGACCACGCCTACAGGGAGTAACAACAGCTGATATACGACACATCACAACCAACATCGATGACAGTTCTGAAGCTGTAGCAGCAGAAACATGTCAACAAGGTAAATACACTTTACTGTATTGTCTTTAAAAAGAACCCAAGAAGTTAAAGTACATAAGAAGACAAAATGAACATCAATATGTCAAATGTGTCACATAAAAGTTTTCCTCCACTGTGACAAAGTAATGACGTAAAAAACACTTGGCGATTTATCGATACAGCAGCCCACAATATCGATACTGTATCATTGTCCTCACGTGTAAATAGTTGATGTGATTGAATGTAAAATGTCTGAAGAATGCAAAAGAAAATTATGTACAATTAGAAGAAGGGGGTGGGATTTTTGTTGTTGTTTTGTTTCTGTTTTTCTGATTGCTCTAATGTCATGTGGATAAAACTCTGTTCCATTGTAAAATCATGTATAATGTAAATCTCACATACAGTTCCTTTACCCATTCAGCCCTTGGCATTCAGATACTTGTCTCTATCTTTCCTGTAGTGCAGCTTGTTAGGAGGATTAGTGACAGTATAGGATCCAGGCACTAGCACCCAAAATAACTCTGCTCCACCCCCCTCACAGCCCGCACCCTCCACCCCCCTACACACCCCACCCTGCTCCAAAGGCTTAGCTCCCAACACTTCCGGTCCTCCAGCCCAAACGCACAGTGCTGGCAGCGCTCAGAGGAGAAGACTGTATTCTGCCGTTTCGTTCTCACACATATTTGAATGTGTCTCGCTCACAGGGAGGAGGCTGGGGGCTGGTGACAGACGAGATTTTATGATTCATTCATTTTTTGATTATGGAGCAGTGAAACAGTCAAAATGTCCTTCTCATTTTGCCCATAGATATATTAAAGTTGTATTATGTAACTTTTTGGTGGAGGATGTGCTAGTTTTCGTTGGTGTGAAATATTCAGTCGCACTTGGATCTGCACTAAGTCAAGCGACCGAGACCTCAAAAAAGAGGTGGTCTCAGTCCACTTGACTCCACACCAAATGCCAAACTTTGGTGTAGTCCCTCTGATGAGAACGCGAACTTGGGTTCAACCCAGAGACAGTAGGTCCAAACCAACTATTCCAAATGCATCATAGGAGGGGATACTAATTATTTCATTTCCAGTTTGTGGTGAGTGAAGAAGACATGAGGCAAACGGTGGGCAAACGTGGTCCAAGTAACAGTAGAGCAATCAAAGGAACCGTAACAGATTTAATGAGCCATTCACAGTTTCACTGTACAGGCTGTGTGGACTTAGACTTGCAAGCCTTAATCTGTGAGACAAGCATCTGCTACTGTGTGCCCACACCGGGCTGGTGGGCCCCGGCGGCAGGCCCTGGGTTTGGGTCCGGTCACCTTCCCCGCGGCTGGCGGTACGTAGGTTTTCGAGTAAGAGCTCCCTGAGCCGGGGAGTCTCTTAGGCAGAGTTTGAGAAAGCATGTCTGCCAGAGGCCGGAATCCATTTGGGGGGGGGGGTTAGGAATCGACCCGCGCCATCCCCCATGGAGGGGCTCCATGGAAAGGCCACTGGGCGAGGCGGCGTGTCTTGGCCTCGCTTCCGAGAGGTCTGGCATGCGGGAGAGCCTCAGCGTCCCTGAGCCATCTGCAGTCGAACCCGCTGTGTGCAGGAGACTTGGATATATGTCAACTGGACCAATTTAGTTTGGTTTGCAGGTGTGAAAGGAGCACACCAGAGTCTATACACTACGTATATAATAACACTTTTATTGCCTGGTGTTGACCAAATAATCAAACTAACAGTGTGAAAGCACCTTAAATGTATCTATCACTATGACAACAAGCATGTGACACCACTAGAGTAAGTTACCAGGCAGATCTGTGGAAAGGTGACTCCACTCAAAGTAAGAATGGATGCTTTTTTTAAAAGGTACTTGTTAAGCAATAAAAACCCTTGTAAATGAATATATGTGGGACAGATATTCATATATATGCGTTCTGCATTGTGATATTAAACATATCTGTCCCACATATATTCAGTTCCAGGCAAAGCAGTATCATCTCCATGGAGACAAGCAGCTGCCAGAAATGTAAGAGTTTAAAGGCACAGTGAAGGCTTTTAGTGGTACAGTTTGCAGTGCTTCAAAGCCAGTCCGCATTTACCTTATGCATTCAGCGCACACTTAGCATGCTAACACACACTTCCTGATTCTCTGATGATAAAATGCTTTATAATTAGATGCAGACAGTACACAGCAGATTAAGTCTGATCTCAAGAGCTGCTTATAAAATATATCGGCACTGGGGCAAGACACATTTTGCTAAAATACATGGAGAAAATCTGAAATGGTTGATAACATTTCACACTTTCACACATTTTTTGTTAAGTCTAGTCTATTTTATTTCAAGGTGGCAGCAGATTATTTGGTAGAAGGTTTCCACCACTAATCCAGTTCACGCCCACTACTGGCACAGCGGGTCTCAGAGGGGACGTGGGGTACGGGGGTTGGGGGCAGACGGGTTAGGGTTAGAGGGAGGGGACGTACCAGGCGCCAGGGTCGTACTCTGCCCACACGCGGATGAACTCGTCCAGATGGTGAGGGCCCAGGATGGAGGCGTCTCGGGTCAGGTACTCAAAGTTATCCATGATGACCGCCACAAACAAGTTCAGCATCTACAGGCACAAAGATAAAAAAAAAATGTCTTCAGTGTACAGTGCAATGAAACGCTAACACTGAAAACACTGAAAACACATACTCACACACAGTTGGAACGGTCAGATAACTGAATACATGTACCAAAAATACATACTCAGAATACACTTTTGGGGTACCTGTATTCAAGTACACTTACTTTTTCATTTGGTGGCATTCAGAATATTTCAGAAATGTTCCTAAAATCAAGGTGGTACCTAGGGGTGGGCGATATCTCAATATTTTAAATGTATCGAGATCGTTTTTAAACTTGATATGAATTCTGACATATCGTATATATCGATGTGATGCTTATATTCAATTCTGATTTCACCGCTTCGCTTGTTTACCTTCTCTCTCGCCGTCCCCGCCTCCCTGAGTTTGTTCGCTCGTGTCTCCTTCACTCCTCACTGTCGCCGTGAACACTGAAAGTTGGTGCTAGTGAAAAGCTTCAAGCATCACGAACCTTTTCCACCATTTGCAGACAAAACCATCAGCAGCACATCCTCATATTCCACCGAGTCGCGTCCTTTAGCCCGAAAGAAGCTAAACGAGCTGAGCTGCATGAGAAGTGCACTGTTTATGCAAATGAGCCATGCACTTAAGTTTTGTTTCTGTAAAATGTAGAGTTTGTAATCTTAAATGTTCCTATATGAACTGTCGACCTCTTACACTTCAATAAAAAAAAGACCTTGTGGAATCTGGCAGATTTGTTTTTGCAGTTTTCAGTTTTAGGGGGTTATTTTTTCTTGAACATATATGTAGATATATATCGTATATCGAGATATAGCAAAATATATCGAGATATATTTTTTGATCCATATCGCCCAGACCTAGTGGTACCCAATTTAGGTTTCAAACTCCATGTGAGATTTTTTCTTCTCTTTGTGAGGAAATGCAAATCCAACAGTGAAACAAACATTAAGATGCAAAAAACCCAAGGCACCTGAGGAAAGCCCACGGCTGAAAACGTGTCAGGACTTTGTAAGTTGTCCTGACATGCTGTAAATGAATAAACAGTGAGTGCCTTGGGTTTTTTGCATCTTTAAATTGACTTCCCTTCCTTAAAGAGCAACACTATGTTCTATTGACTGTGTATTATCCTCTGGAGGTTCAGGAAGTGCTCCTTTTGAAACTTTTTTAAACATTAAAATGTTTTTAATCCTTTACGTTGCGTTTTTACTCCATAATTTAAATGCAACTTGCAGTAAAAGTATTCAGAATGCAGCACGCTGACTGGACCATGTATCAAAATATGTTACAAAATACATTTTACTACAGGTGTTCAGTACACTGTAACTAAATACATTTTCAAAGTGTTCTTCTTATGACACTGGTGATAAATATACATAAAATAGCAGTACTGGTGCTCTTCAAGGGTTAAATTCAAATCTTAACAAAATGTGGCCCTCACTTAGTAATGTAAAAATAGGCAAAGTAATGAAGGTGCTAATCATTTCCATATTTTTGGGGAATGTGGGGTCATTCAAGAATACTGGTCAGAGATTCATCAACATCGACAAAATGTTTTTTCTTTTGTTTTCCCCCATCATTTGAAGCTTTGTATCTTGGTAACTTAGATGGTTTAAACAACACAAACAAGAGATTACTCTATATTCTATTGGCAGCAGGTAAACAGGCAATAACTAGGAAGTGGTTTAAACCTGAGCGACCAACAATTGAGGACTGGACTGATATTCTGCAAGAGGTCTACATGACAGAAAAGGTTTCATTTTTATTGAAAGTGCAACTGGACATAACGGAACACTACAATGACATGGAGATGAAGAAAACTGGGACATTTTCTCATTTTTTGAAGATTTTGTCTACTTGTCTATTTGCTACAGTGAACAGAGCCCATCGGAAGTTATCATCACATGTTTCCAAACGTCTTCCTGATTTGTGACGTAAGCCTGAATAAAGCTTATAAAATGTTCATGTGAAAGTATTCATAGTATTCAGAATACAGTGCTCTGGTTGGATCATGTATCAGAATCATAGATAGCTAATCCGCTACATTCCAAATAACATGTTCATGGCTGCACCTCCGGCTCTGTTGACTCTGGCTCCATTTAACTTTACATTGAAAAATTTTCACCCATCTCTCTGTAACTACTGCTGAGAGCCTCGCCATTTTGGTCTTAAAATGTTCGTATTAACCCTCTCTATATGATCCTGCAGTCTGTATTTCACTATTTTGTCCATCAAACAAATCCTATTCCTAATATTGAACTTTCGCACCTATAACTTTTAGCCTCAATGAGCTTCATTTGACTGGAGCTATGCATGACATCACACTCCATCAGTCCTCCATTCTGTAACTAAATATATTTTCAAAGTATTCTTTGTATCACTTACTAAGGTTATCAAAAATATGAATCAAACTAATGCTGAAACTTTATACTCCTAGTTTCTCAGAGCTATCAAATCAAATCTAATCAATATTGAGTATCACGCCTCATCATTCCTTTTGTCCTTCTTTTGGTATGGCTAAAGGCCCGAGCATCAAAGGCCAGAGCGTCAAACGCTGGATGAATGGGAGAAAAATACTTGATGCGCGTCCATTGTCCTGGAAACAAGTGGCCGGTCCTGCTCTTTTCCCGAAACAATGTCAGACCAGACTGAGACTTTTGTGTATTTATTACATAAAACATCAGTGGAGGTGATCGGCTCGATGACTGCAGCATATATGTCCTGGTCTAGTCCTGGTTTAGTCCTGGTCCAGTCCTGGTCCAGTCCTGGTGTAGGCCTGGTCTAGTCCTGGTCTAGTCCTGGTCCAGTCTTGGTCCAGTCTTGGTCTAGTCCTGGTTTAGTCCTGGTCCAGTCCTGGTCCAGTCCTGGTGTAGGCCTGGTCTAGTCCTGGTCTAGTCCTGGTCCAATCTTGGTCCAGTCTTGGTCTAGTCCTGGTTTAGTCCTGGTCTAGTCCTGGTTTAGTCCTGGTCTAGTCCTGGTCCAGTCTTGGTCTAGTCCTGGTTTAGTCCTGGTCTAGTCCTGGTTTAGTCCTGGTCTAGTCCTGGTCCAGTCCTGGCCCAGTCCTGGTTTAGTCCTGGTCTAGTCTTGGTCTAGTCCTGGTCTGGTCCTGGTTTAGTCCTGGTTTAGTCTTGGTCCAGTCCTGGTTTAGTCCTGGTCTGGTCCTGGTCTAGTCCTGGTTTAGTCCAGGTCTAGGCCCTTTCTGGTCCTGGGCTAGTCCTGGTTTAGTCCGGGTCTAGTCCCTTTCCAGTCCTGGGCTAGTCCTGGTTTAGTCTTGGTCCGGTCCTGGTCTAATCCTAGTTTAGTCCTGGTCCGGTTCTGGTTTAGTCCTGGTTTAGTCCTGGTCCGGTTCTGGTTTAGTCCTGGTTTAGTCCTGGTCTAGACCTGGTCCAGTCCTGGTCCAGTCCTGATCCAGTCCTGGTCCAGTCCTGGTCCAGTCCTGGTCTAGTCCTGGTCCACTCCTGGTCCAGTCCCGGTCCAGTCCTGGTCCAACGCTTCTTCTAGAGCGTCGACACCAGAACGCTCAAGGCGTGTCGCGCCGCAGAAACGCAGGACGCCCTAGACCAGGGGTGTCCACACTTTTTTCATCAAGGGCCACATTTCTAAACACAGATGAAGCAGAGGGCCGATCGAGGGCCGTAGACTGGAGCTCAATACAGTGAAAAATTTAAATATGTGCATGTTTAACACTTTGGAATGAGCCATCAGTCCTTGTTCACTCTAAAATCCCCAAAACCACACATTAAATCTTCAATATTGGCTTTGTCAAAGTAGATTTTCAAAAAACTTGCTGTAAAAAGTTCATTTTTAATTGATGCAAGGTAATTTGGGCCAAATCACCTGGAAGCCTGAGGGCCAAGAAAAATTTGTTAGACAGCCGCATTTGGCCCACAGGCCATAGTTTGGACATGCCTGCCCTAGACGCTCGTACACAGAGACTTTGGACGCCTTGACGCTCTGGTCTGAATGGGCCTTAACCGTGACCAGACTGACTGACTGGGGACATGGTCTGTTCCGTGTTGAGCTGCACTCACCAGGAAGGAGCAGAGGAAGATAAAAGACACAAAGTAGAAGTACGCAAAGTCACTGCCGCACTCTTTCCCCGAGCTCCCGGAGAGCTGGTCACATGGGCGGTTACTCAGGCACGCCAGCATGATCTCCTGCCACGCCTCCCCCGTCGCACTCCTAACAATCAACATCAACACATCCATAAAAACAATACAGGAATAATAATAATAAAGTGATACAAATGAGTCATGTCCGGACCTGAAGAGGAGGGTCAGAGCCTGGAAAAAGGTCTGGAAGTTGTTGTGCTGGTTGATGGCAGTCTCATCGTTCAACTCAATGTTTCCAAAGACCTTTGGAAAACAAAAGGGAATGATTCGATTTAGACTTAGACAAACTTTATTGATCCACAAGGGAAATGATTTGGACACAGTAGCTCACACATCACAATATAATAGAATAATAAAGAGTAAAAATAAAGACCTAAATTTGCAGGTTTTGTGCGTTATACATGTGTGAATGAAACAAAACACAACTCCAGGTCTGTTTGTGATGAAATTTTAAAACATTACACAATAAAATTCAAGCATTCCAAGATCTCACTATTTCACCCAATAACTGAGAGAAGTGACATAGTAATGCACACCGTAACTATAACCAGTGTTGGGGAGTAACAGATTACATGTACCGGAGTTATGTAATCAGAGTACAAATTATGAGTAACTGTATTTGGTTGTTACTTTGTTGAAATAAATGGATTACACAGAGGGATTTTCCTGTTTTCACATTTTTGGGCTATATGCCCCCCCCCCCCAAAAAAAAAAAAAAAAACTAAACCAGGTCTAAACCAGGACTAAACCAGGACTAAACCAGGTCTAAAACCAGATCCAAACCAGATCTAAACCAGGACTAAAACCAGGTCTAAACCAGGACTAAAACCAGGTCTAAACCAGGACTAAAACCAGGTCTAAACCAGATCTAAATCAGGTCTAAACCAGGTCTAAACAAAGACTAAACCAGGACTAAACCAGGACTAAACCAGGCCTAAACCAGGTCTAAAACAGGACTGAACAGGACTAAACCTGCTGCGTGGACTGTATCTCCTCGTCTTCTATCAATAATATTTTTAATTTGGTTCAGTAAAGTCTGGGCTTTTTATTTTCTTTTATCAGACAAAACATCTTATGTGAAGATTTCCTCGTCTTTGTTTCTCTACAGCAAATCAAGTAATCCAAAGTATTCAGATTACATTACTCACCTTAAGTATTTACTGGATTCTGTTACAAACTACATTTTGGTGTATGTAATCTGTAATCTGTAGGGGGATACATTTGAAAAGTAACCTTCCCAACAGTATAATATATATTCTGCTGAATTCTGCGAGCTGCACAGTGCTCTGCTCACACTGCACTTCCATTGACACTTCAGACATTGTGTTGGAGCGGCGTAAACTGGGGTAACAACAGCGTGACTGTACTGCAAGAGCTGGGAGATGTACACAATCTATACAGTCCACATGAGCAGATTAAAGGGCTCGTATTACACTATTTTCTGTTCTAATGTTGTTTCCTCAGCACAAACACACCTGGAGTTGTGTTTTGTCTCATTCACACATGTTTAACACACAAACTAACCTGCAGATTTAGGCTAAATTCTTCTCTCAAACTGAAAACACTCAATTTCAACTTTTGATGTCATGTGGTAATACAGGAAGTGCTCCACTGTGTTTTTAAACTCCATATGTAATGGTTGAAAAACAAGACAATTTAAAATGACATCAATGTATACTACAACATTACTACTGTTAAATATATAGTTCATAGTAAGATTTATTTTAAAAAAGTAATTTCATTTTATTGATACATGATTATTATTTGTATTATGTGATTATATTATATTATTCTGTTATCTGGTGTTATGGAAAGATTTTGTTTTTTATGAAGCACATCCAGTACGGTGAACAGCAGGGGGAGCTCCAGTTCGGTCTCGGGTCATTAAAACCACTGACTTGAAACCTGAACGGTTCTTTTATTTACTCAAGTTTCATCACCCTTTTTTCAGGTAAATATGTGCTTTTGGTGTACTATGTTTGCATAAAAGTTGTTTTATAATTAATATTTGTCATTAAAACCACTGACTTGAGACGTGAACGACCGCTCTTTTATTTGCTCAAGTTTTATCCCCCTTTTTCAGGGGCCATGGTTGCAACAGACACCTTCACTAAGATCATTTGGATAATTTCAGCCCTGGAATTGCCAACCTCTACTGAACAAGCAGTGGAACACAAAGTGGAACAGAGCATTTAGAGTTTTGGGGATGTAGACAGATTAATAACACAGAACTACTCAAACATGTGTGAACGAAACAAAACAGGTCTGTTTTTGAGGAGGTAACAGCATTCTAACTAGGGCCCGATCGATATATCGATTGGCCAATATTATCTGCATATCGGATATAGGCAGCGTTGGGAAGGTTACTTTTAAAATGTATTCCCCTACAGATTACAGATTACATACCCCAAAATGTAGTGTGTAACGTAATCCATTAAATTACTGAAAGTGAGTAACATAATCTGAATACTTTGGATTACTTGATTTGCTGTAGAGAAGCAAAGATGAGGATATTGTAACATAAGATGTTTTATCTGATAAAAGAAAATAAAAAGCCCAGACTTTCCTTAACAATATTAAAAATATTATTGATAAAAGAGGAGGAGACACGGATTGCGCAGCATGATTTAGTCCTGTTAAATGCTGTTTTAGACCTGTTTTAGACCTAGTTTAGACATGGTTTTAAACCTGGTTTAGACCTGGTTTTAGACCTGGATTAGACATGGTTTAGACCTGGTTCAGACATGGTTTAGACCTGGTTTAGACCTGGTTTAGACCTGGTTTTAGACCTGGTTTAGACCTGGTTTAGACCTAGTTTAGACCTGGTTTAGACCTGGTTTTAGACCTGGTTTTAGACCTGGTTTAGACCTGGTTTTAGACCTGGTTTAGACCTGGTTAAGACCTGGTTTAGTGTCAGGCAATGAGTGGAATTACGGGAAAAAAAAGAGAAAACGGGGATTTAGCCCAAAATTAAAAACAGGAAAATCCCGCTGTGTAATCCATTTATTTCAACAAAGTAACTGTAATCCAATTACCACTTACTGAAACAGTAACTGTAACTGAATACAGTTACGCATAATTTGTACTCTGGTTATGTAACTCCGGTACATGTAATCTGTTACTCCCCAACACTGGATATAGGCACTTGGACATATTGGCTATCGGCCTTAATCTTGCTGATATGACCTGATAGTCCACGTGGGCATGTTTTACCTTGTTATAAAGCTCTATATTATGTCCATTTAATTAATGATCTGTGGCACTGTGTCTGTGGTGCCGTGCTGCCCCTGAACACACCCCCAGAGTCACATCACTCACGTGCTCTTGTTTACCAGATTCATGCGCGCAACACTGAGGCACTGCTTTAAACGCTCGTGTCTGATCCATGATATGGACTAGAAATAAAAGTGAACTTTAGCGCAGTTCAGGCCATCAAGTTTAATCAAGTTTGTTTGATTATTTTAAGACTTAAGACCTGAGAGGAGCCTGTGAGAGCAGTGAGTGTTGCAAATGTGTCGGTTTTGAAGCCATTTTTTCTTCTTTCTCATTGGTTAGCTCTTAGCTGCTGTAAAATACCACACATAATGTCTTAGTATAAAGTGACTATAGTGTCTGTACATGTTACTGGACCTGCATTGATATGTAAATTAGCTGTGAATAGAGGTGTGAATGATCTGCATTTACATATACAATTAATTACCGCAGCACGCACGCATTTACTGCTAAAGGCTGATAGCAGTTGTTTACTAACTTATTTTACTGGCTAGAATGTGATGCAAAAATGACTTTAGGCCAAACTACTATCTTCAAATATGAGTGTAAAAACGCAGAGTAAATGTCTCCTAAATAAACCCAATTTAAAATCCAGGAGAGCCAGACAGACCAAAGTTTTATAATCAGTTGAAGATTTACAGTCAATTTCACAAAAGTACATCACGAAATATATCAGCTTTTATATCGACTATGGGCATCTCCAACGTCAATTTGATCTGTATCATATGGGACGCAAAAAAATCTCACAAGATTCAGTTTTGTGTAATGTGGGACCTTTAAACTGAAGCGTTGTGTGTGAATGTGCTGGGAACCACACTGACCTGCATCCCAATGACGGCGTAGATGAAGAAGAGCATGGCGATCAGGAGGCACACATATGGCAGAGCCTGAGGACAAAACACACACATTTAAACATTACCACAGTGGGAAAATAGTGCATCATAATACGACAGAAAAACAAGCCAGTACAACAACATGACAAAAACTAAAGTAATATTAGGACTGGCTCGTTAAGCTATAACAGATTCTTCAATTAGGCTGTAGTTTCAAGTTAGACATGGCATTTAAAGCAATAACGTCTCGCATTTGACGGACCTTCTACCAGAAAAAGTTACTCAATGCACCTTTAACTCTTTCCCCCCTGGACGCCTACTAGGAACAACCCATACATATATTACTAAGGCTCTCCTTAGAGCATAACTGCATAAAAGAAAACAAACTTCCACAAGTGATTATAAATGATTTTTACACTCATGAACTTAATTGAAACACAGACATATTTGTATCTCTGGAAACTTTAGACTCTGAACTCTTCATTTATGGATGTTTAAATGTTCAACTCATTTATAGGTGTATAACAGCTCACTGAATATGAGAGTTTACCTGGTCAGGTGCAAAATCAAAAACAAAAAACTACATTCAGCATCTGATATATACATGTTCTGAGAACTATATTCATAAAAAAAAATAAAAAATATACTTATTTTAAACAGATTTCATATCACCAGATACAGTATAGCCAAGTGTGCACCTGTTTTTACCTGTTGTACACCTGTGCACCTAATTCATTTTTTCCATTTAACTTATTCAACTCATTTATCTTATTATAATATATTAATATATTAATATAATAATATAATAATAAAACTCTTCCCCGTCAGTGTGAGTCCAGTATTTGTCATCTTGGTTACTTTCTCGTGCACAGAGCTTCACATAAGTGTTTGTTTCTGTAGTGATTTTGTTATACGTCGCATCTTGGAAAAAAAGACTGAAATATTTTAAAGGACTCGCCTGAGCAACATCCAGATTTCAGGGCAATTTTGGTTCATAATCGAGTGTAAAGCCCCAATAGTTTGTTTGGATATCGCAGGACTCCATACAGACGCATCAGCGGCATTCTCATCTTCGTAAGATTCACTCCCTGAAAGTCCGTCTCTATCGCTGTTTTCCACTTTATAATCAACTTCATCATTGCTTTGAAATCTATAAAAGTCACTTTCTCTAAACTTATCCATAAAATACGTGCGCTCCTCATTATTTATAAAACTGTGCGCCGCAGCGCCGCGATCTTTCCACTGCACGTGTTTCGTGTTGTGTTTTTTCTGGATGCTACCATCGTCACTACTTTGATTAACTTCGGAAAAAATCTGTGAAAACATATCCTTGAATCCTATTGGTCAGTCTAGTGTGAGTTGTAGTGGCCCCCACCTACCACAGCCTCTGTTTACATGTGAAAAACCAAGCCTTTTCTAATGGTCGTCAAATCACGTCTTTAGTGAAACAGTGGAGGTGTCAAAAGATGTCATTAAGGAAACAAGGGGGGGTCGTCAAATGTCGTCTTCATGGGGGAAAGAGTTAAAGCCATGTTATAACGTTTGTACCTATCAAAAACAGGTATTGGGGTCTGGTCAAGCAGTAACAGAGGGAAACGGGCAGATTTTTGACATTCAAATGTCTCTTATTCAGAAACTAGAGGGACTATTGAAATAAGTAAAGTATCAGAATGTAGGAAAGAGTTACACTCCAACAGGGTCAAGTTAAACCTGTGAGATTCTTTCAAGTTGTTGACAAAAAATTAAAAAACTCATGTCGGTAACGGAGGGAATGAAATATGCAGCACTTTTTGGTCAATAAATCCAAACAGTGATAACTCTTGGTTCTCACTTCCATATCCTTAACAAACTGGTTTGAATATTTGCTTCATATAGTTTTCTACCATATGGTACAAGATTACTTTAATATTACTTCAAAATGAAAGGAAACTATTTCTATAAAATATGTCAGTGCTTCCAAGCAAATGTTTATCATTTTAAATACATTTTTTTGGAAAAATCATGTTCCTTCATCAACAGTTCAAAGATGGAATAACACAAGATATGATGAAATACATCCATTTATTGACATGATTTGCAGGTCTTTGAAATTTGGGAAATAATTTTTGTTCCATGTTTCATACATGGTCTGTTTAAAACGTATGGAACTTTAGAACCAAAAATGGTACAGAAAAAGGTCAACAGTTTCATAAACTAGAGTACATATGTATCTGTTCAATACATTTTTATATCAGATTCATTAACCTGAATTTTTGGCCTTGCTGTTTACTTCTGCTTGACTTGGTGCTAAAAAAAGTCCCATTGACAGGACAAAATTTGTTTCCTGAATAGCTTTAGAATGATCTGGAACTGTATCAGAACAAGTATAAAAGCGCATAGATGAATCCAGACCATGGGCAACTATGGAACCCACCTGGACCACTGAGGGATTTACACAAATATAAAACACAAAGAACAAAAGGGGGAGCCAGGTCAGGGCCAGAGGTGTGAAAACACTATGGGCCTGAATGATTCTCAGGACAGAAGAAAAGGCCAAGCTAACAAACAAAAACTGTAAACAAGTAAGGGGTAAGTTTCAGAGTAGTTGCGTTGTAGTTAGCTCCTCCCTTCAGTGCCCACCAGCCCACCAGCATTTTGACCAGAACTGAACAAGCAGCCTGGATGAGCTGCGAAACATTTTTAAGCTTTTAGAATATTGTTAGAATATAGTTATCCTCTCAGAAACAGACCTGGAGTTTTGTTTCATTCACGCATTTTGGGTAATTCTTTACTATTAGTCTACATCTCCAAAGCTCAAAATGCTCTGTTTCAACTTGTGATGTCATGAAGCAGTAGTTTTCAAGTGACCTTTTAGCTTCCATTTAGTACAGATTGAAATTCCAGTGCTGAAATGATCCAAATGATTCTAGTGATTCTAGTATGGATTTTAAAAACACAGTGGAGTACTTCCTGCATTACCATATGACATCACAAGGGGGGGAAACTCCTAACAAATCTAATGCAGGGTTTGTGTGTTAAACATGTGTGAATGAAACAGAACTCCAGGTCTGTTTGTGATGAAATTATAACACATTAAGTCTTTTGTTTATTTAGACAAGAAATTCACCAAAATACACTATGGGCCTGAATGATTCTGCCATGTCCCCTCACTCAGGACAGATGAATAGGTCTATCCAACAAAGAAAACTGTAAACAAGTAGGGTGTTAGTTCCAGAGTAGTTTCGTTGTAGTTAGCTCCTCCCTTCAGGCAGATATAAAGAAGAGCCCACCAGCATTTTGACCAGGGCTAAAGACAGCTTGGATGAGCTACGAAACATTTTTGACCCAAATAAACGTTTGTCCAGTTGACAAATTAAAGTTTCTCCTTTGCCATAAATTCTACCTGGACGACTGAAGGATTCTCCACACTGATATAAGGCCACATGGTAATATAAAAGAAAGTCAAGTACTAGTATAGGGACTAACAATGCATCAGATGTACTAGTATAGGGATCACAAATGTTTATTTAAAAATGGGAGAAAAAAGAAAGAGAGAGAAAAGGAATTTCAATTATAAAATGGCCAAAATATATCAATGTAAGGGGGCCTAGCGGTGTGTTTATGCTGCACTGCCACATTAGTTTTGTTTTATTTTCTTGTTGTTTTGTATTTGTTGTAGGTGCTGTGGGTGTGTTTGTTTTTGTTTTTATGTTGATTATTGTATTTTGTTAGATGTTATATTCTGTTGTCCTTAATAAAAAACTAATAAAAATAAGAAAGTCAAGTACTATGATTTAATGTTGAAAATCAAATTCTTTTGTCTAAATAAAGAGTGTGTTTTTATTATCATTATCTTATCAGTATTGAGTATGGAGTGTATTTCTTAGTATCAGAATTGAGTCTGAAATGTTATTATCATGACAACACTACTGTAGACCTCTCTGTGAAAAAAATGAAAAAGATGATCACAGACAATTACAGAACAGAATGTCAAAGCCTCTCGTAAGATCTTTAAAATCATTATGAGCAGCTCCTTTCAAATTCTCTCTAAAATGATTGTATTCTTGCTTCACAAATTGAACATGGTGTGCTTCACTGGGCTGGTCTGGTTTTAACGGCATGAAGTGATGCGCTCTATGTGTAATTATGTTACTTAAAGATGGACACTACCAGTCAAAAGTTTGGACACACCTTCATTTTTAGTGTATTTTAAAATTTTCTACATTTGATCTACACACAGGAGACATCACATATATGAAGCATGACATGTGGAATTATGTAGCCAAGAAAAAAAGTAAAATAAAGGAACTACACTTTTTTTTTTTTTTTTAGATTAAAGTTCCTGATGAATGAATGAGAACTTCGCACATCAGTTTCTTGAAACAGGTGCACTGAAGGTGAGTACTTGGGTACACTGTTCATTTAATGACCTGTCACCCTTGGGTGCTTTCCACACCCTATTTAAGATGGCCATAAAGCTCTCCTCCTGTTGCCTGATGAAAGCATATTGCCAAAATGTTGTTGATGTCCTAATAAAATTCACAGTTTGCAAGTAAGGAGCTGTTAAGATTCAAATCTTCAAATTAACCACCCTTTGCTTTGTTGACAGCTCCAAACCCTTGGCCTTCTCTCACCGAGTTTCATGATGAAACCTCCTGAACTGGTTTTCACTTCACAGATTCAGGGTCAAGAAATGCCACAAGTGTAAACCAGGGTTCAAAGCAACAGGTAAAGGTTTTAAACATAACGGAATTCAGGCGCTCCAAAGAAGTAAAAATAGTTCACAGCTAAGCCCTGATGAAGAGCAGTTGGGTTAAAACATGTTGGCTTTGGTCATCTTAATAAACGCCTTCTAACTATATTTTTTCTTGTGCGATTTTTACTTCTTTGGAGTGTTTAAAGTTTTGATCTTTTTTCCAAGCGCACCCTGTACCTGCTCTCACTGATGGAAACACCTGCAGCAAACAGACACATTTTTGTTTTTTCTGTACAGAAAGGGTAAAGGCTGTTTTAAAAATCTAAAATCTAAAACAGGGGTGTCAAACATACGGCCCAGGGGCCAGATCCGGCCCTCCAAGACCTTTAGTCTGGCCCTTGGCTGATTTCCTACAAAAATATTGTAATTATATTTTCTATTAAAATATTGGTAATGTTCTGCGGTGCTGAGCAGAGCAGCGTCTCCAGTGTCTCTGTACGTGGCCCCTCCCACCAGAGCAGCACAAATGAAGACTTGTCTCTTTCCAAACGCTCTTAAAGGACGATCGTTTTGACTGTTGACCGTGACACCCTCATCAGAAAAATGTCCAACATGAGAAAAGTGGAGCAGAGTGCAGGATTTTACTACAAAAATTGACTTATTCCTATTTGCATACAAGTTCATGTTAAAACATTGTGTTGAAATTGTATTTTTCTTAAAGTTTCAGGTTGTTCATAATATTATAATATTATAATATTTTGTAAAAGAAAGAGTTCAATTAAAAAAGATTTTTGTAATAGATTTGTGTTTCTCTGCACAAACATTTGAACTTATTGTTATTTTTGGGTTTATATGACATAAGTTTTCTGATCCGGACACTTTGGGATCAAAGTCGGTTGGATACGGCCTCCGGACCAAAATGAGTTTGACACCCCTGATCTAAAACAAGATTTGGGTTATTTTTAGTGTATTTTTTGTTTGCTACAGTCCACATGTGTCATTCATAGTTGTGATGGTTCGGTGACGGTCTACAGCAGAAATAATCATGGAAATAAAGAAGAAACATAAATGAAAGAAAATGAATGTAGGATTTCACAGTTTTCTGGAAGTAAAAACATACAGGACTGACTTAGAGAACCCTTTACCAGTAGAGTAGGAGACAGATTGACAGTTTTATGATGACCTATTTGTCGTGCTTATTGCTCTTGTGACTTACCTTGAAGGACTGCACAAAGGTCCAGAGCAGGATGCGGATGGTGTAGCCCTGTCTCAGCAACTTTATGAGACGCGCCGCTCGGAACAGACGCAGGAAGCTCAGGTTGATCATCTTACTCTGAAATCACAACACACTTATTCATATCTGAACTATCATTTCAATAAAAGTAACCACGAAAGAAATACGATTAATTAACAAAGCTCCTATATTACACAAAATGGGTTCTTGTGAGTTTTAAAGGTTCACTATGTAACTTTTTGGTTGGGGTTGGGGGTCCGTCACCTGCTTGTTTCTATGGATATACCCAGTGTTGGGAAGGTGACTTTTAAAATGTATTCCCCTACAGATTACAGATTACACACACCAAAATGTAGTTTGTAAAGGAATCCATTAAATTACTTAAAGTGAGTAACGTAATCTGAATACTTTGGATTACTTGGTTTGCTGTAGAGAAGCAAAGACGAGGAAATCTTCACATAAGAAGTTTTGTCTGTTAAAAGAAAATAAAAAGCCCAGACTTTACTGAACCGTATTAAAAATATTATTGATAGAAGAGGAGGAGACACGTCCGCGCAGCACGATTTAGTCCTGTTAAATCCAGCTTTAGCCCTAGTTTAGACCTGGTTTAGACCTGGTTTAGACCTGGTTTAGACCTGGTTTAGGCCTGGTTTAGTCTTGGTTTAGTCCTGGTTTAGACCTGGTTTTAGTCCTGGTTTTAGTCCTGGTTTAGACCTGGTTTAGACCTGGTTTAGTCCTGGTTTAGACCTGGTTTAGTCGTGGATTTAGACCTGGTTTAGTCCTGGTTTAGTCCTGGTTTTAGTCCTAGTTTTAGGCCTGGTTTAGGCCTGGTTTAGTCCTGGTTTAGTCCTGGTTTTAGTCCTAGGTTTAGGCCTGGTTTAGTCCTGGTTTAGACCTGGTTTTAGTCCTGGTTTTAGTCCTGGTTTAGTCCTGGTTTAGACCTGGTTTTAGTCCTGGTTTTAGTCCTGGTTTAGACCTGGTTTAGGCCTGGTTTAGTCTTGGTTTAGTCCTGGTTTAGACCTGGTTTTAGTCCTGGTTTAGACCTGGTTTAGACCTGGTTTAGTCCTGGTTTAGACCTGGTTTAGTCATGGATTTAGACCTGGTTTAGTCCTGGTTTAGTCCTGGTTTTAGTCCTAGTTTTAGGCCTGGTTTAGGCCTGGTTTAGTCCTGGTTTAGTCCTGGTTTTAGTCCTAGGTTTAGGCCTGGTTTAGTCCTGGTTTAGACCTGGTTTTAGTCCTGGTTTTAGTCCTGGTTTAGACCTGGTTTTAGTCCTGGTTTTAGTCCTGGTTTAGACCTGGTTTTAGTCCTGGTTTTAGTTCTGGTTTTAGTCCTGGTTTAGTCCTGGTTTAGACCTGGTTTTAGTCCTGGTTTTAGGCCTGGTTTAGGCCTGGTTTAGTCCTGGTTTAGTCCTGGTTTTAGTCCTAGTTTTAGGCCCGGTTTAGTCCTGGTTTAGTCCTGGTTTAGACCTGGTTTTAGTCCTGGTTTTAGTCCTGGTTTTAGACCTGGTTTAGGCCTGGTTTAGACCTGGTTTTAGTCCTGGTTTTAGTCCTGGTTTTAGTCCTGGTTTAGTCCTGGTTTAGACCTGGTTTTAGTCCTGGTTTTAGACCTGGTTTAGTCCTGGTTTAGTCCTGGTTTTAGTCCTGGTTTTAGTCCTGGTTTTAGTCCTTTTAGTCCTGGTTTAGTCCTGGTTTAGTCCTGGTTTTAGTCCTGGTTTTAGTCCTGGTTTAGACCTGGTTTTAGTCCTGGTTTTAGTTCTGGTTTTAGTCCTGGTTTAGTCCTGGGGGTGGGAAATACCTCTGTGTAATCCATTTATTTCAACAAAGTAACTGTAATCCAATTACCACTCACTGAAACAGTAACTGTAACTGAATACATTTACATTTGTACTCTGACCTGAAACTTGGTCTGATTTGGTCTTCATCACGAAAGAAAGGTTTCAAGCCATACTGGGAAACATTCCAAACAAAGCAATAACATCTCCACTGAGACAAGCATTTGACAGGCCTTCTGCCAGAAAAGTTACACGATGCTCCTTTAAAGCCATGGTATAATGTTGGTACCTATCAAAAACAGTTATATAGATCTTTTTCATGTTTTCTGTGGCAAAATGTGTGTGTAAATGTGTGTCATATTCTCCAGCAACTTCATAAATCTGCCCCATCACCAAATCTTCAACCAACAAACTCCACAAAGAATAAACATTGTAACATGAAGAATTTATCCACAACTATCAAGAGAAGAAAGACAAAAACTTAAAGGAAACAAGGACCACACATTAGTGACACACTGAACAAAACTAATGTTACAGTATCTTAGAGATGTCTCGTATTCGAACTGCACAAATCTATCCATCTATGCTAAAACTGACATCATGAAATTGATATTTAATTTTAATTGTAGAATCAGTCTGAGTGAACAAGTTCCTTTTGTTTTATTCATGACCATAACGTTAGTTTTGTTCAGTATGTCACAAATGCGTCATCGTTGTTCTCCTTTAAGCTTTCTTCTCTTCTCTTGATAGTTCTGGATAAATTCTTCATGTTAGAATGTTTATCCTTTGTGGACCTTGTTGGTTGAAGATTTGGTGATGGAGATGAAGATTTGAGAAGCTGGTGGAGAGTAGGCAAGACATTTTAACAGACATTTTGCCATAGAAAACCATTAACAGGAAGATCTGTAAAACTACAGTAGGGCACTTCCGACCGTTCTGAAAAAAGTCCCACTGACAAGACAGAACTGAACCTTTCTTGAATGTCTTTAGAATGATCTTGAGCTGTATCAGAACAAGTATAAGAGCACACAGACTAGTATGCACCATGGCCCACTATGAACCTACCTGCACCACTGAGGGATTACAAAGATATAAGGCCACATGGGAATAGAAAAGAAAGTACTATTACTACCATTTAAGGCTGAAAATCACATTCGGTTGTCTAAATAAATGTTTTTTTGTTTTTATTATCATTGTGGTATCGGTACTGAAAATCAAGTCTATTTCTTAGTATCAGAATCGAGTTTGAAATGTTTTTATCCTGACAACACAACTGTAGAGCTCTGTGTAAAAAAGGCCCAAGATGATCACTGACCATTACACGACAGAATCTCAAAGTTTAGCCTCTCATAAGCCCTTTAAACCCGTTACGAGCAGCTCCTTTCAAACTCCCTCAAATGACTGTATTCTTGCTCCACAGATTGAACTGTTTTCGTCTACTATTTCTGAACGTAATGACTATATTTACAACTTTCTTTCACAGACCTTACACAACCCCAACAATAGACCTGCTTTAGTGTCAGGCCAAGTGGCACTTCAGAAATCCCCCGCGAGGAAACACGCAGAGCCACAAGAGAAGCCACTTACCGTCTGGAGGAGAGACAGCAGAACACAGCAGAGCAGAACACAGCAGAGCAGGTACAGGGCCAGCAGAGCAACATGGAGAAAGCACACACACACACACACACGAGGAGGAGGAGACACAAGCAGAGCAGTGACCACGAGCACAACACCGGTCAAGAGGTTTACAGATAATCACATGTTCATGATGTAACTCGTAAATAAGAATTCAGTAAATAGTGTGTATGTTAAATCTAGACACAATAATACCTGAAAATAGACTAAAATATGAAAACTAGACTGTAGGGAAATGGATAACCTGTCGCCATGTTGTGAGCATGGATGCACTTCACTTCACATATCTTCGTCTCTCTCTCTCTGTAACTGCTGTTATGAGCCTCGTCATTTTGGTCTTAAAGTGTTTGTATTAACCCACTCTACATGATCCTGGGATTTTTATTTTCATATTTTGTAAGTAAATAAATTTCTATCCCCAATATGGAACTCAGCTCTAAATTTAGCCTTGGTGACGAATAATTTTAGAAGTAAAGCCAACCTTGCATTTGAAGGATTTCTGTATGAGCAGCGGCAGTGAGTTGTACTTCCTGATAGAAAGTTTGGCAGCGGCGGACTGATATATGAGAAAATAGTCCCTGAACATGCGACGATTCATGTGAAGCAAGGTTAGTTTTATTTCAAACTAGGGATGGGCATTCGATGAAATTTTCTTAATCGATCGTCGGAAGAATTAACGATTGATTATCAATTCATCATTAACATTTTTATATTAAAATGATCATCATTATTATTACTATCTGCACTACTAATCTGCATAAATAAATTCAACTTTATGACATATAAACCGTAACCACTCTAGAGCCACATCAATCCGTTTGACATTAGAATGTGTTTAATTCAGTTTTGTTCAAATCTCACAGAAACGAAACTTAAAACTGCATCGCTAATTTGTATAAGCTAAGTGAAGATAAAACTCCAGCTCTTGTGTCGCTGATGTGGTTCAATTTCTGTTGGATTAAAAGACATGACTCAGGTGAATACAGGTTAGTGTGACCAGATTTGCGTTTGTCAAAACCAGGACACCGTACGAGGGGAGGGGGGGCGGGGCCTCGTCATCGACATTGAGCGACTCTCACCTGGCAAAACTTTTTCCCACTGGACACCGACACATATGTGCTGCTTTATACACTGTGCACATGGACTCACACTTGTCCCGAGCGCAACGGAAAGCGTGGAATTTCTTGTACAAATCATCGTTAAATACACATTTGTGCTTCGGTACGTTACAGACTGACCCACTGTTTGTGTCTCGCTCCTTCTGATGCAGAGACACATGTACACACCTGTTTGGTCACGACACACACAGCAACCTACATTCGGTTTGTCTATTAAAATGAACGTAATCGATGAAATTCTTAATGATCAATTATCGAGTAATTGATTAATCATGCCCATCCCTATTTCAAACATTACTGTATCGACACAGACATTCACATGGACAGTCTGGTGTAATAATAGATTAGTTTGGGGTGTTTTGTGGAGTGGGTAAGACTGTTTTTAGTGGCAGCAGAACTATGACCATTGACATGCACTAGTCTAACACCAGCGACCTCTGCTAATACAAAGACTGGATGGAATATTTCAAAAAGTGTCTCCACACGTCTCCAACACCCCAAATGAGGCCCTATGTCTGAAATTCCGAACTGTCCCTTTAAACCTAATGCATATGCTTTGATGTCAATGCGCTAATTTAGGGCTTAAGTTTCAGTTATGCATGGTGAAAAAATAGTCGCTTACTTTCCATAACTTGGATTATAATGATCAGAAGTATCATTTAAGTGAAATATTCTGAACAGGTGAGGAAACAAAGAGACGCGCTGTGGCTCAGGTGCTTTATTCATAAACAAGAGCGTAAATCCTCCGCAGCACCACGTACTCGTACTGCCACACGATTGGCTGTAGACCTGTTGATTCAAATGTGCATGCCTTATCATCGAAATTAACCAAAGCAGAGATTGCAATCTAATGATCTTTTGATTTTTGGAACAGCCGTATATTAAAGTGTTAAACTCCTGGTCAAGCAAGTTTAGCTCTTATGTTTTTTGTAGCTAGTGGACTCAATAAATAGGCGAGTTTCATTGTTGACAAAAGTGCGCGTTGCATGCTGGGAATTATTTTGTTCGGCGGCAATAAACACTAATTCAACATGAGGGATGGAGTGAGAAAGCACGTAAAGGGTATTGATCCTGGTTATTTATCCACTCTAACGGCAGAGGACCCAAGATCATTTGACTAGAAATTGGTCATAAGCATCGATGGAGCCAAATCACCCTTTTCAACCCCAACAGAGTCTGGACCAAACCAAATTTCTGGTCAGAATCACCAACTACCTGGACAAATATTCACTTTGGCGATATCCACAATGACTTGGTGGAAACTCCTGGGCCATTCACAGCAGAAAAGATGAAAACCTCCAAGAGTCTCGATTAGGGATGGGCATTCGATGAAATTTTCTTAATCGATCGTCGGAAGAATTAACGATCCATTATCGATTAATCATTAACGTTTTTATATTAAAATGATCATCATTATTATTACTATCTGCACTAATCTGCATAAATAAATTCAACTTTATGACATATAAACCGTAACCACTCTAGAGCCACATCAGCTGTTTGACATTATAATGTGTTTAATTCAGTTTTGTTCAAATCTCACAGAAACAAAACTTAAAACCGCATTGCTAATTTGCATAAACTCAGCGAAGATAAAACTCCAGCTCTTGTGTCGCTGATGCGGTCAATTTCTGTCGGATTAAAAGACATGACTCAGTGGAATACAGGTTAGTGTGACCAGATTTGCGTTTGTCAAAACCAGGACACCGTACGAGGGGGAGGGAGGTGAGGACTCGCCATCGACATTGCGCGACTCTCACCTGGTAAAACTTTTTCCCACTGGACACCGAAACATATGTTCCTCCTTTGTACACTGTGCACATGGCCTCACACTTTTCCCGAACGCAACGGAAAGCGTGGAATTTCTTGTACAAATCATCGTTAAATACACATTTGTGCTTTGGTACGCTGCAGACTGACCCACTGTTTCAGTTTGCTTGCTCCTTCTGATGCAGAGACACATGTACACACCTGTTTGGTCACACTACGCACAGCAACCTACATTCGGTTTGTCGATTAAAATGAACATAATCGATGAAATTCTTAATGATCAATTATCGATTAATCATGCCCATCCCTAGTCTCGATGTGTTGTTGAACTTGTTGGAGTCCACGGTTTGTTAGGATCTTCTACATTTGCTCTGTGGATGTTTGAAAGCCGTTTAATTCACCGTTAGTGGTTCTTTTCACTCAGAATACGAAAAAGTCTTTCATTTTCCTTCTTCTGTGCTTCTATTTGTGCATCCGATAATGCAGCAGGAATTTACCATTATCAGGGAAAAATACGCGAGGTTACACACTGTGTTTGACGCTACCACATGTTTCTTGCCTCCGACCAAAATATTTCCCAGCATGCAACGCGGGCTTTTAATAACAATGACCTCAGCTGAAACTCGCCTATACAACAACATCAGCTGACAACATGACAGACACAACTGTATAGAGGCATGTTTGCTGCGAGACAAAACCATAGACAGTGGACTAAAGAAGTGACGTCACTCACAGCGTTTGGCTCCAGTCAAATGAAGCTCACTGAGGCTTGCGGTTATAGAAGTGAATTTGGAGCCAGTTCCATATTAGGAATAGGAACTGATTTACAGATAAAATCGAGTAATAAAAACACGAAACTCATGCAGAGCAGGTTAATACAACAGTTACAGAGAGAGGGGCGGGTTAGTTACTGTATGTCCATACAGTCTATGGTAGGGTGACCAGAATTTTAAAATCAAAAACTGGGACACTCTCAGTTTGAGGTGGTTGATAAGAATAAAATTGTGAAGTGAGTGCGTCATGGAAAATTGTTATGAACTCAGTGAGTCAGTATAGTCACATTTTCTTGTGTTTTTTAAGCAGGTTTTCTGTATTTTACTGAAACAAATATCAATTTACGGCCCTCTTTACTGTTGACTGGTATCAAATTGGTCAAAAATAGGGACAACTGAGAACTTGTACAAAATGAGACAAATCTACTGGGACAGGGGACACAGGGCTCAAAACGGGGACTGTCCTGGGTAAATAGAGACATCTGGTCACCTTAGTCTATGGCCAAAATCAAATGTCTTGGTTTATTTATTGCTTCTAATAAAAAGAACAAAACTAGTGTAGAGTGTAGAGCTGTTTTGTTGAAAATATTCTATTGTGTAAAAATGTATTTGTATTATTTTATTATTTGAAAGTTTAGTACCATGACAAGACTAAAGCGTGTGGACCCACCTTGATCTCAGTGACCAGGATGTCAGTGATGGAGCCCAGCACTGTCACAAAGTCAAATACATTCCACGCTGCGCTCAGGTAATTCTGCAACAAAAGCCACAATAAGGAACTTTTTCGATATCTGTATAAGAGAGGTGCTTCATCACCAGTCAAACATTAAACCTTCTTATATAAAAATGCTGTTAAGAGTTAAATAATATTAGGCTTTATGTAAACAGGAGATCTGAACTGAAATTTGAGTACTATGATACTGCAAAACCCTAAACCCCAAAGGTTTGGAGAGAAGAAGATGGGGAGGTTGAGGAAGCTTATGGTTCTACTGCATAAAAACTAAAACATTAGAAAAATTATGTTAGTGCATACCAATGACTTGAGTGCTGATTGGTGGATATTGACAATCGCAGGCTGTGCACGTCACAAGAGCAAATACAGTTTTGCTGGTTGAATATATGTTTAAATTTCATAAAGCGGAAAATATCTCATTGTGATTTTTCTTCATGTTTGTATAATTCTGTTCAAAGTTTACATTTTAAAAACGGCAAAGGAAAACTGACAAAAAGACTAAAATATGAACCGACAAACTGATACTTTGCAGTGACGTCACGCAGGGGGTGTTCTACATGTACTGTATTTTTCGGACTGTAAGTGTCACTTTTTTCATGGTTTGGGTGTTTCCTGCGACTTATCCTCCAGTGAGACATATATATATATATATATATATATATATATATATATATATATATATATATATATATATATATATATATATATATATATATATATATATATATATATAATGTTCACACTGAAGCCGCTAGAGGCTCTAGTCTTGTGTATGAATATCTGCTCCTGTTGCTCCTGTACCACTGTCACGTGGTTCTACTGCTCATGTCTCCTGCAGAAAGAGCCACTGTTTTGCTGCAAGTCGTGAAATATGCAGCTGAAAACAGCAATCGAGTGGGGATGGAGACACAGCTTCACGGTAACCGAGAGAGTGCACCATGCAACTTTCCTGAAGTCACTGGATGGATGGACAAAGTCTGGACTTCAGTGACACCAAAACCATCCTGTGGGGATTCAGAAAGGCCGGAATAATTCTAACTGGAACTGATGCTGAGTCTGACGACAGCGACACAGAAGAGGAAGCGGCGTTCTGTTGACCTCCAGAGGTCGAGGCCAAGTTGCTTGATTTGGAGTGAGATGGAGAGTTTGGTAAACTTATGTTCTGTTGTTTATACTCTAGTTATCTGAAGAACTGTTCATATGTGACGTTAACATATTAACACCTATTCAGCCTCTTGTTCTCTATTCTAGTGTTATTATTATAACTTGCCTTTCAAAATGAAATGTCAGTTCCTGGTCTCTGATTTTATAAAATACATTTCCCCCAAAAAGTGCGACTTATAGTCTGGTGCAATATATATATTTTTTTTCTTCTTCATTATACATTTTTTGGCTGGTGCAACTTATACTCCAGAGCAACTTAGTCTGGAAAATATGCTAATTGTGATTTTTCTTCATGTTTGTATAATTCTGTTCAAAGTTCACATTTTAAACACAGCAAAGGACAAAAAGACTGAAATATGAACCGATAAACTAATTGATACTTTGCAGTGACAGTGCAGGGGGTGTTCTACGTGTATATGGTATCTTCACCATTTACCATGGAAACACACTGCACACATTAGCAGACACTGTCAAATAAGTTTTAAGATCTGAAAACTCAAAAAAAAAAAAGATACAAAATGGATTTAAAGAGCACATTTCACATCAGGAGCCTGTGATCAGTCTGAGTGTTCATGGTCCTGTTAAATCAGCTCACCTGTTGTAGTTTCAACTAAATCAGTTCTTTAAGTATCAGACAGAGCAGTGCTTACAGTTAGCATCACACCCTCTGGGAATGTTGCAGCAAAGTACCAATACAAGAATCACATTTCAGAACATGTTTGTGCACACGTAAACTACAGGGTTGATGTTTTTATGCAGAATAAAGCTCTATTCACACAGGATTAGTTTGACCTGTGGACCTTTGGTGATTTGTAATAATTGTGGAGGACATCTGGGATCTTAATCCCGTGTGAATGCGCCATGTCTGTCATTTGTAAAGTAAAAATTCCACCGCAAATGACCTACTACATTTCACCAAACACACACATCTGGTGATAATACTAGTCCTGTACGAATCTGTATCTCGGTGTTTGTTGTTGTAATTGCGACTTTTCTACTGTATGTCTTTCTTTTCTTTCTGCTTTTCTTTTTCAATCTCTGTGTCAGTAAAATAGAGTCATTTACAGACTTTACTTCTCCTGTGCGAATGCTCTGCAAGTGTTAAAGAGATGGGGCGAGAATTTGCAAATTACCAGATTTAAGACAGGAGGTTTTATTGTTTGTGGTGGAAATGACAATACTTTGCATACTTAGCATCCATAGCTCATGTTACTGAATGAGCTAATTAGTAAGTTTTTGGACATTGAACAAAAGGTCTACAGACAGGTTTGGGGTTTGGGCCAGTTTTTTTTGGGCTTATTTCTGGCCTGGATCTCACAGCTGGACACTGCACTGAGAGTGTGAGAGTGTGAGAGTGTGGGAGTGTGAGAGTGTGGGAGTGTGGGAGTGTGAGAGTGTGGGAGTGTGGGAGTGTGGGAGTGTGGGAGTGTGGGAGTGTGGGAGTGTGGGAGTGTGAGAGTGTGGGAGTGTGGGAGTGTGGGAGTGTGGGAGTGTGAGAGTGTGAGAGTGTGAGAGTGTGGGAGTGTGGGAGTGTGGGAGTGTGCTGTGAGTGGGCACACAGCTGAACAGGTGGGGCTAGTGGAGTGTGAGAAAACCTCTTTACCAAATGGACCTGGTCAATGGAGCAGAGCTTGGGTCTAACGCCTCAGTGACACCCAAGAGGAGAGCTCCACTTCTGCCATGTATCCCCCACACCTCACTGCACCCACATATTACTGGAAACTGTGGATTGATTGTTTCAAGGCCATTTTTTTAATTTATTTTTTTTATGAAGGAGGAATGATACGGAAGCCCTGACAGGTAAGAGTAAAAAAACAAAACAAAACAAAACAAACAAACAAAAAGAGGCAGGTCATTTGGGCTCTATTTTTTTATTTTTTATTTTTTTGCACCAACTCAAAAAATACAAATCTTTTTATTTATTTATTTATTTTTTTTTCTCAGTCACATCAACAGTGGAAAAAAAAACACAAGAGAAAAAAAATGAGTTGCTGGTGCAAAATGAAAAATAAATAAATAAAGACTTTTTTTTTTTTTTTTAGAATTTCTTTCTTTCTTTCTTTCTTTTTTTTGAGTTAGTACAAAAAAAAAAAAAAAAAAAAAAAAAAACAACAAGAAAATAGAGCCCAAATGACCTGCCTCTTTTTTTTTTCCCTCTTGCCTCTCAGTGCTTCTGTAGAGATGATCATTTTGTTAAAGTAAAAAGTGTGATTGCAGTAAGATACTAAGATATTATAATTATAATTACAGTGTATAAAATTACAGGTTTTTAAGTCTAATTATGACTTGGTTTAGTGGAACCTGTGCTCAGTATTTATCACAGTTTTACATCAGAGGCAGTTTGTGGAAAAAGTTTCAAAAGCAAAAGTAATGTACACAAAGTAGTGATGATTCCTAAAAACAGAATAGGATATCTCTGCCGATGTCATCAACATGGAAAATTCCATCCAAAATGCAGAGACAATGTACACACAGGAAGGCATTTTTAAAACACAGATGTAACAACAAAAGGCACTGCCATCTATTTTTACTCTAGTCTAATCATAACTATTGTGCAGCTAATTTAGACATGTTTTGGCCTTGTTTGGTTGCTAGGTAACAGTTATGGAATTACCTCTACGTCTGCTGTCCATGTCCAACTAAGAAGTAAATCTATAAACTTTAAAAGAACTAGGTAGGATTTTAGTTAGATCCCGCATACCCTCAAATAATAATATAACATTAATTTTAAATTGGCCAAAAATAGGGACACCTGGGACATTTTTTGTGTAAAACTGGCACAAATCTATGTTTTTTGATAAATCTGGGACAGGGGACACAGGGCTCAAAACTGGGACTGTCCCAGGTAAATAGGAATGTCTGATCACCTTAGTCTATGGCCAAAATCAAATGTCTTGGTTTATTTATTGCTTCTAATAAAAAGAACAGAACTAGTGTAGAGTGTAGAGCTGTTTTGTTGAAAATATTATTTTCTATTAATTATTTGAAAGTTTTGTACAAGAACTAGGTAAGATTTTAGTGAAATCCCACATACACTAAAATAATAATCATAATAATTTTAAAATGTACAAAGCTTAATGTTTCTATCCCACCACAAAAATTGGTCTCCTTTTGACTGAAAATCCTACATATACAGTACAGTGCAGTGAGACCACACAAAGATGGCCGCCCGTGTCATATGTAAACACAGTGTGCATGAGTCCTCTGAGAGCTGTGAGGATGGGTGTGCTTGTGCCGTACCAGGGGCCCGAAGGCGATGATCTTCAGAATACACTCCAGGGTGAAGAGTGCTGTGAAGACGATGTTCAGGTACTTGAGCATGTACTCGTACCACTCTGGAGCTTCAAAGAACTGCAAGCACAACATACAGGAGCACATGGTTAAGTATGGCCCACTGTCCTTCACTCTGCATCAGTGTGTTCATGTGGGGAGGGGGAAATACTCTTAACCACGCTAAAAATATAGGGGTAATGTGTAACTTTTCTGAAGTAGAGTCTGTCACCTGCTTGTCTACATACATACATACATACATACATACAGACATACATACACACGTACATACATACATACACGCATGCATATGTAAATACATACATACATACATACATACAGACATACATACACACGTACATACATACATACACGCATGCATATGTAAATACATACATACATACATACATACATACATACACACATACATACATACATACAGACATACACACATACATACATACATACATACACACATACAAACAAACATACACACACACATACATACATACAGACATACATACACACGTACATACATACATACACGCATGCATATGTAAATACATACATACATACATACACACATACATACATACACACATACATACATACATACACACATACAAACAAACATACACACACACATACATACATACATACATACACGCATACATATGTAAATACATACATACATACATACACACGTACATACAGACATACATACATACATACATACATACATACAAACAAACATTCATACATACATAACTATTGAAGTATCATATGATTTTAAGGAAGAGGACAATGATGCACTGGCAGCAGACCAACACAGACCCAAGAAGAACCAAGCCTCTTTATCTGTGAGGAGACAGTGCTAACCACTCAGCTACCTCGTCCCATTAGTTGATTTATCAATAGTTAGGAGGCCAATTTTCAGGTTCTTAGTATCAACTAGATCTCTGTTTTACATTTTATTTTTCATCAACTACCGCATTCATCTAAAATGGCCTAATAATCAAAACAGGTGCACTGACAGGTCAACTGACAAACCCTGTGTCTTAATTTGAATCACAATTAAGTACAGCAAAGTGTAAGGGGAGGTGAAAACAGAGAGTTGCCTCAAGCCCCAATTGCAGGACCATACAGGATTACTCAACGATGTATGAATCAGTCGAAACACAATTATGAGCAGGCTAACGATGAGGGAGTAGAGAACATGGTCAGGATTTCATTATAGTCAACTTTGATATGTCTCAGCAATTTAACAACTCACATGTTCTTTTTGATTTGTGTTTTGGAAAATAAAAAAAACATCTCTGGACCTGTGTGGACCTGTGTGAACCTGTGTGGACCTGTGTGGACCTGTGTGGACCTGTGTGGACCTGTGTGGACCTGTGTGGACCTGTGTGGACCTGTGAGTACCTATGTGGACAGTGTGACGGATGGGGGGAGCAGGCTGTTGTGACTGCACACTTGATCTAAGACTGGCTGAGTGTGGCTGCTCGTGTCCCCTGAGAGAACTCAAGCCTTCAGTGTCCACAGATACACAGGTAGACCCATATGCTGTGCTTTAAGCCTGCTCCGCTCTGTTCAATAATTCAAGAACCAGCCTGTCAGGAAAATAAACAAGGATCCTGTTTTAAGTCATTTTGGGGAAAGTGTCAAAACAACAGTGCTGTAGTCAACTAAAGAAATTCTTGTTGGACTAAAGAGAGACTAAAAAGGGGGCGTGGCAAAATCTCTCAAAACTATTACGTGTCTCTGTGTATCTGACACAAACTGCATTCACAAGACTACACTTAGGTCTGTCAGGCTGAATAGACCAAATTCAATCAAAGGAACTCCATTCCTAACAACATTTACATTATTACTCTGAAGTTTCCGAATTATTCAACCTGCCCCCTTTTTCCAGTGTATTCAACTCAGTTCAAGTTTATTTATATAGCATGATTAAAATAACTTAATTGTGTTTGTCAGTCTAGACTTTAACTGTAAGAAACCGAGAGGATTGGACAGTGTACAATCTGGTACCATATTTTTGTCATTGAATGGTCTATTTTCAAACTTTTTCCACAAATAAACTGCACTGGACTTTAAAGGAAGCCCAACAGCTGGATGGGTGAGTGGTTTTGTTTGTTTGTGGTGTTCACGGTGACTCTGGGCTTTGTTCAGTTGTGGCGTGTAGGGAGGGTGCTGTCTGTCGCTGGATTGTCGGCGTGTTCACAGTGACTCAGTTGTTCAGTTGTGTCTAGAAGTGGCACATTGCACTCGCTTTTTCGGTTCCGTTCCTCGTCTGTGTGGAGTGATGAGTGTGTCTGTGGGTGTGTTTTGCTGTGTCGTCGCTGTCTACTCCATGTGTGTTTGTGTGTTCTGTGAGTGGTGCGACTTTGTAGTTTACTGAAGTTGTGCTTGGACACTAGAGTGGATTCGTGTATAGGGCGCTCTGGCTTGCAGCGTGTGCAGTCATTTTTTGATGGGGTTAGAGGCTTAAGAGCGCGTCTAATAGCCCGGAAAATACGGTAATCTGTTTCATTTATATTCATACACACAGACAGACTTGTCCTGAGGGACATTATTCTCCTCATATTACCTCAAGTTTCCTTTAGGATTGATAAAATATCTATCTATCTATCTATCTATCTATCTATCTATCTATCTATCTATCTATCTATCTATCTATCTATCTATCTATCTATCTATCTATCTATCTATCTATCTATCTATCTATCTATCTATCTATCTATCTATCTATCTATCTATCTATCTATCTATCTATCTATCTATCTATCTATCTATCTCTCCAGTGAGCAGAGCAAACAGAGCAGACGTGGAGGATTGAGACAGGCTGCAGACATAACCTTGGGCTGCTCAAACACACTGGTGAGACCTTCAGGGCAGTCAGCTGCTGAGGAAGAGGCAGAGCTAAAGTAGCATCTGTAGCTCCAAAACAGAGAACCAGGAGATGATATTGTAGGCTATGGTCACGCACAAGTGTGTGGATGATTTAGTGAATTCATTTAAGAAGGACAGAAAGCAGAAGCTTCTTTAAAACATGTCCATGTGTCACTGACCTGTGTGATACGCCATGGTCACCCCATTAGACTAGAATTCATTAGAATATGAATAGATTTTAATTGATGTCATACAACAGTCATCTATGACATCATGAGGAGTGAGTGAGCCATTCAGAGCTGCACCATGACTAACTTTGTGTTTTCTTCTAATAAGACACATTGTAAAAAGCTAAACAGCATTTTTCCTTTACATGTCTCAATTTCTTTGTACAATTTGTGCTACTAGAATAAAACAACAAGTGTCTATATAAAAGGAAGAGAAATGTTAGAATCTAAATATTTGTCATGACTAAAACCCATATATTTATTGTATTATTGCTTAAAAAAAAAATCATCATTCATTATCATTAATTCATTATTTTCTATGTTATGCTCTGCCTTTGTTGTTTCCTCATCACAAACAGACCTGGAGTTGTGTTTGGTTTCATTCACACATTTAACACACAATATTTAGGCTGAGTTCTTCTCTCAGACTGAAAAAAACAAAACAAAACAAACAAAAAAACATCTTATGGTGTCATGTGATAATACAGGAAGTGCTCCACTGTGTTTTGAACCACCACACACCTTCACTAGAATCATTGGATAATCTGAGCTCTGGAATCCGTGTGTCATTCGTTCATTCATTTTTCAATATAAAACCAAAAATAAGAAAATGAAAAAACAACTGTTTTCTTCACTATTTGTTTCCAAAACCAAAATGAAAAAACGGATAACGGCTGGTCCCGGTCTGGCCCGGTCTGGTCCCAGACCTGGATCAGTCCTGGTTCAGTCCATACTCGGTACAAAAGTTCGGCATCGCAGTCACAGAAGTCACGTAAACAGGAAACGGTCGTTATCTGTTTTTCCATTCTTCATTTAAACACAAAATCGAAAATTGAAAAAACGAATCATTATCTGTTTTTTCATTTTCTTACTTTTGGTTTTATATTGAAAAACGAACAAACTAATGATACACGGATTCTCTGGTATTGCCAATCTTTCAAACTAAAAAGTAGCTATTAACTTGAAAATGGCTGCTTGATGACTTTGCAAGGTGGAACAGAGCATTTAGAGCTTTGGAGATGTAGACAGTCTAATAATAAAGAATTACTCAAACATGTGAATGAAACAAAAGACAACTTCAGGTCTGTTTTTGAGGGGATAACAACATTATGACATGACTTAAAGCTCACAAGAGTCATGTTTGTGTAATATACTACAAAAATCTTCATATGATAACTCATTTAATTTGACTTACCTCCCTTCTTCTCCATTATATCTTACTAGACCAGCTGGATGTTATGATGCCTTTAGACACCCGGCTATAAGCAATGAAAGACCTAAAGATGCTCCAGGCGTAATTTGTAACCCTGCAGTGGGCCACACCCAGCTCCGGCCCCACGTCTCTCACCTTCATCATGAGCACCACGGTGTTGAGGGCGATCAGAGTCATGATGGCGTACTCAAAGGGAGGAGACACCACAAACTTCCACAGCTTGTACTGGTACGACTGCTTGTTCTCCGGCATGTAGCGCGTTAGGGGTTTGGCGTTGATGGCGAAGTCGATACAGGCCCTCTGGAAACAAGACACAAGGCATCATGGGAAATCTGCACCACAAACTGTCTCGAGCACAAGGAAAAACTGTATTGATACTTGAGCTGATGTCATTAACATTCCCCTTGGGGTGTGAAGCTGAAACTGAAATCACTACTCTGTTAGACAGCCAGCACACACTACAGGAGAATCTGACATGACTTTTTGTCTTTGTGTGTGGCAACATTGTCAGATCATAACCACCAAACATCAGCAACGCTATGGCAACAGACAAAAAAACAGAGTGTCAGGGGCAGAGGAGTGACATACAAACTCAGGAAATAGTGAAAATAATGAGAAGACTTTATCTCTCAACTCTTGTAAAGTGGTAAATTTAAAGTGCAGCATCTCATCCACATTATTCATAGAAAATATCCTCAAATAACGACATCCAGTCCACAAAACCACACTGTTAATCCAGTTTGAGGTGTTCTTTAAAAGTAAAAAGGTGGGAGTAGTTCCTCATGTGTGTCTGTTTACATCCACACAGCGCATGGATCGAGGTGAAGCTGCAGATTAGTGACAGTGACTCTACTTCCTGTGGACTTCTCCAATCTTTAGTGATGGACAAATGAGTCGGAGCTCTGGAGCACGTCTCGTTCTTTCTGAAACAAATTGCTCTGAAGCACTGCCTCGGAGCTCGTCTCCCAGCAGCCGCTCACGTGACCAAAGTGTGGAAGTGTCAGTCCCTCCCCCTACTGCTTCTCTCTCCGTGTCGATCGCTTCAGTGTATCGAAGCGTTTCATTGGCTCGGCGAATGTTCCGCTCTGCGATTGGTTCGCACTTCTGTGGTTTGACAAGCGCTAAACTGCTACAGTCTAAAAGATGCACCAATATTTCTTGAAAATGTTGGATAGTGAGGAGGATTGTGTGACATTAGTGGTGATTTTGGTGATTTTTGGCGACTTTTGGCATTTGTTTCATTTTCGATGGCGTCTACAAGCGATCCGTGGTTTGGGATCACTTTGATCTAATTCCACTAAACAAGGTAACACCTATTTTCTTATTTACAGCATGTTCTTTATGTTTCTCTTTACATATTATTTTAAATCATCATTATTATTGTTGTTGTTAGGTACGGTGTCGCTCTGCACACAAGTATTGTCTTACACTAATAATACTTCATCGATGCTGAGACACCTGCGTGACAATGGTTAAATTTGTCCACTAGAGGTCAGTGTTTCTCCAAGGCCTCAGACACGTCCAACCATTTGAGACAATATTGTGACTGAGGCTCCAGTCGCCCATCACTACCAATCTTTTATGTTTGAAAAAATCCTGTATCTGAAGTTTTGCACCACATTTCACAAATAAAAACACAGTTTTGACTTGTATCTAAACTAGAAGTGCAGAGCTCTGATCTTTTGAACACTTAAGAGTCTCAGAGTGTGTGATTTTACTGTACTGACACGATCGCACTCACAACTTTATATCCTGTGGTCTGCAGACATGTCCCTCTGCAGTCTTTGCCATCAGAGATTTTAAGTCTTATAAGATTCTCCTCGTGTTTGTGGTGTTCTCTTTTTGTTGCATGTTTTCAAATCGTTTAAGGCTGAAAAATCCTGTAGTGTGTGGCGGCATTTAGACTCAGAAGAAAAAGTTGACTTGGTTGGAACAATATTAGGTGAGCTGATTGTGCTGTTAAACAAGTCTTCATTTAAACTCTAAGATGGATACGTATTAAAAATATTTGTAACTCAGTTTTGTCTAGTCAAAAAGAAAATTTCAGATATCCACAATGACATTCTTCCAGTCTGTAATTGTCATTTTCAGGGATGTGACTGGCCAAGGACAAAAAAGCAGGAAAATATATAGAGCCATAGTGTGGCAGCGCGACAATGAAGCGTGCGGCAACAGTGCAGCCATTCCACACAATCACCTCATAATATACAAACATTTAGTGGCAACTCAGAAATTTCATCATTGGAAAACAATTAACTTGAGGAGAAAAAAAAACATACATGCCAAACAATAGGTGCTGACATTTACGGAAAAAAATCAAACAACCAAAGAACAGTGTGCAAAGAACAGAGAAAAAGAGAGAGAGAAAGATAAAGAAAGATAACGACAGACACAGAGAGAAAGAGACAGAGAGAGAAAGAGACAGAGAAAGAGAGAGAAAGATAGAGACAGAGAGAGAAAGAGACAGAGAGAAAGCTGTTGGTGTGTTGGACAAAATTGCACTTGCTGTGACAAAATGCAGTCTATTTCTGAGCCACTTTAAGATATAATAAAGGAAATTATAATACAATTATGACAATCCTTACAGTTTTTAATCACTCTACACAAAGTGCAGTGCACATGGACTTGGTTTTCCACCAGTTCACTGACAGTGTTATTATGCAGCATGTCTGATCATGTGCTATAGATAAACTTGAACTATTACTATTCTAGTCATCATCATGGCCGTTGTTGTTGTTATTGTGTAGTTATTATGTTACACTATTATGTTTTTATGGTGCCTACACAACATTCTGTAACAAGCAACATAAGAGAGATTTTTGGGACTCTAAGGTGCACCTGATTATGAGGCGCATTAAGCAGAAGTGCGCGTCCCAGAAGAAACAGCGATCGAGATGCCGAATTTTTTCGCCGCATACAGACTGAAAGAGGACCGAACCAGCAGGCTGCTCCGTGCACGGAGCAGAGCAGGCCGTCTGTAAATCGATCACGCGGGCCCCGTGGAGCGCGGAGCTCTGCGCAGTTTGAATTCTGTTTCGTAAACATGTCTCTTAACAGGTGCCATTTTGGGTCTTTATCGGTCCTAATGCGCACATTCTCCTCGCGGAGTCATACATACTGGCTCCTGACTACGGTAACGATAATGCTGCGATAATCCATGAAGCGATCCTGCTTCGTCATTTACCAAAGTCGTACCAAAACATTCTGACAGATTCTTGAGTGCCGTGTACCACATAAAAATCGATACCCCCAGAAATTTTGTAAATATAAGAGCCACGGTAAGCCAAATATGAGGTGCACTTAGATGTCTATAAAACATATTGATTATCTTGTTATCAGTGGACAAAATTAGGCATCAAAATTATATATTTACAAAGAAAATAAGCATTAAATCGATCAAATTTGACGTATTCAGCGCAATATGCATAATTCAGAAAGCTTAGAGAGGTACTTAGAAGGGGGTGGAGAGCTACTGGTAGCTCCCGAGCTACAGGTTGGACCCCTGTTGTGATGAATTTTGATTAGAGACATCAGAAATTGGAGATGTCTGTAAAGTTCATTGTGCTTAGTCAAAATATAATTACAGATTTCTTGAATTTTGACAAGGAGAAATGATGTTGCAGAGTCTGTATGTAAATGATCCCACTTTAGGCAGGAGCATTTGGCACCGGAAAACGGAAAGTTTATTTATCTGTAAGATCACCAAAATGCATCTTAGGTTCTTTTTGTTCATGCACTTAAGTGAAATGTTCGTTGAAGATTACATTACAACACAAAAACACATTTTAACACTGATGGTTGTTGAGCTTTAGGGACAAATGTTTTTTTTTGGATGGATTGTGCACTGTGAGTAGCTAGAGACAACATGGTCCTTTCTGTGTCATAATGTCATAATGACGTTTGAGATATCCTTTCCTGTCCTTTCGTCTAGTCAAAATTACATTACAGATCTCTCAAATGACAATTCCCACTTTCCAAAATGAAATTATGCCTTGTCGAAAGACGTTGTTGATATCTACAATGTTAATTCTGGATAGTCGAACTTGGCGTTTAAATTTGCCAACGGCTCTTGAGGTCAAAACAAGTTTGCTGTGTGCATCTAATTATAAAGCTTTTTATACTTAGCCTATTTTTCAGACTATAAATCACACTTCTTTCATGGTTTTGGGAGTTTCCTGCGACTTATACTCCAGTGTGACTTTTAGATTACATTTTTCAGAAGGACAGCTCTAGTGTATCAGTTTTCTGCGCATGTCTCCTGCAGAAAAAGCCATTGGCCTACAAGTGCAAATAGTGAAATATGCAGCAGAAAATGGTAATCGAGCAGCAGAAAGAAAGTTTGAAGTGAGAGAGAAACCTGTGAGAGACTGGAGAAAAGCGGGAATGAAGAACACAGCTTCATGGTAACCGAGCAAGTGCACCATGAAACTTTCCTGAAGTCAATGGATGGATCGACAAAGCCTGAACTTCAGTAACACCTTAAGAGTTGCTCAGAAGTGACACAGAGGATGAAGAATTCAGTGGATTCAATAGATTTAGTGATTTGGAGTGAGATGGAGAGTTTGGTAAACTTGTTCTGTTCTGTTGTTTATGCCATAATTATCTGAAGAACTGTTCATATGTTACATTAACTGGACGCCTATTCAGCCTGTTCTTCTTTATTCTATTGTTATTACTAGAACTTGCCTTTCAGGATGAAATGTTGGTTCCTGGTCTCTGATTTTATAAAATAATGTTCCCCCAAAAAGTGTGACTTATAGTCCAGTGCAACTTATATGTTTTTTCTTTTTCATGACGCATTTTTGGGCTGGTGCGACTTAAACTCCGGAATGACTTATATTCTGAAAAACATGGTACAGAGGCAGCGTTCAGACTGCAGCCTGAAGTGAGCCAAATCCAATTTTTTGGCCTCTATGTTCCTGTATCTGATCTTTTAATGACAGTCTGAACCACACAGATCCGATTTTTTCAAATGTGACCCAGGACACTTGGATATGTGCTCCTGAAACCGATACATATCTGATCTTTTGACATGTGACTTCAGTCTGAACGGCCAAAGTGCATTCATCCACCTACACGTTATCAACAAACCACAAACGTCACTATTCTGTGCTGAAGTCAGCGAAAATTGTTAATGAACTCCGTGTCACTGAAGTGAAGCACATCTCCACTCACCACTCTTGGCTCCGTCTCCACATCCACACGTTCCTTTCAACGGACGCCGCTGCCCCACAAAACACCACGGTCAAAAACCTCGTCCTTCTCCTTCTCAATCTCCTCCTTAAAACAAGTAAGTTGTTCATGTTCTGGCTCCGGTACGAGAGGAACTTTAAAATCTCCAGGTGCTCAATGCTGCGTCCACGTTTGGACAACTTCTGTAAACACAGAGACGCTCGCTGTGGTTGACGTCGTCGTGTCTCCAGTGCACATGCGCGACACTTTTGGGCCGTTTAATGTTCACACTGGAGTCACATACAAGTCACATTTAATTGGAAATGTGAACGACCTCGCAAAAACATGGAATTTCACAAAAAAAATTCCAAATTGAGCGTTAAGCCCTGCAGTCTGAACGTAGCCTTACTTACTGTTACTTTACTGTAACAGCAAACCTCCGCTCTGGTCGAAGTGGTGAAAAGCTCTCATAAACATGTTGACTAATTCGTAGGGATGCACTGATTTCGCTTTTCCAATTCAGATACTGATTTCAATATTATATTCTACATTATCAGACTTTCTGGGCTGACTACGACCAGCGAATGATCTTAGTACATTTATAGGTCCTACCAGGATAATCGATATTTGGAAGCCGATATCCGATCCAGCTACATTTTCAGTATTGGCACACATATCCAATACCAGCATCCATATTCATTTGCACGTTCACAAGGCATTGGGTAAGTGAGGAATAACTCTGGACCACTGCAAACTGTTTCAAATGCACTAGTTCTGTTTTCACATTTTTCAGAGAGTAAAAATCAGACAGAGCGCCCTTAATCTACACTAGTTTTGCAGTGTGGCCTTTGTGCCATGCCCTACCCCGCTAACACAGACATTTAAAACATGAAAGAGCGCTGGGACAATGGTACACTATTTGTAATCCAGAGCGTTTTGTGATATCAAAAGACATGGTTGCAATTTACAGGCGTCTGATCGAGGGCCAGTGTTCGAGACAAAAGGGGAGCGATTTTAAGCAAGTCCCTGTGAAGTCCAGATGAGAGGAGCCGGGCTGAACAAACCACGCTGTGTCCAAACATGGAGGAGGTGGAGAGGCTAGAGGAGCGCAGGAGCAGATATGGAGGGCTACAAGAGGCTCTCAGCTACACACACTTTGGACAGGTGTTGTTGGTACACAGTCGGACAAACAATGACATAAATATTGGCTGTGTTGTCATCAGAACATTTATTTTCTTTGTTATGAGCATAATATGCGGCTACACTTTTAATAGACTTAATAAATCGACTTAATGGACAAATAGTGTATTAAAGATGCACTGCGCAACTTTTCTAGTGGAGGATCTGCTACCGGCTTGTCTTCCTCATGATAGAACATTCTAGACAGTTTTCAAAAACCCCAGAAGTTGTAGACCGCGCACCGACCAATCTGTGAAGAGCTGAACCAACTCGAGTTGCGATAACCGACTGCAGACGCTTTCCTCCTCTGGACTTCCTTTGTCAAATACAAACTTTGCATTTTTCATAGCACTTTTAATTCACAAATTCACCTCACAGAAACAACAATAATCGTTGACAGATATGTTCACTCTCTGCTTTGTTTGCTGGTGTGGTGGCGATTACTTGGACACCACTGGATGTTCCAGCGCATTACATACATCACGACCAAATAGCAGCGATTGGTTAAATAAAAAAGTACCCGCCTACCGTCGAGTGAACGAGAATGCTGCGAGGTCAGACGGTTTCCACGAAGTGAAACCAGCTGATGAATCAGGCTAGTAGTCGTATCCAACTCATTATTCATTTAGTATCATAACTCATTTTATCACACGGTGATAAACTGTTTTAGTGCTGACAACAGCTCTAGGTATTGTTGCAACTTCATGTGAACCACACAGACAGGGGCGTTTCCTGCACTCAGGCTGCGCACATCCACTGTGTTGATGAACAAATAATCTGTCCATATATTCGCCGCTTCATTGTATAAGATACAGGGTTCAAAGTGTGAGAAAAAAGTAGCAGCTTATAGCTCGTAAATTACGGTATAAGGGGGAATTTGGAGCTGAGTTCTATATTAGGAACAAAAATAGATTTACAGACAAAATAGCGAAACAAAAACCTCAGGATCATGCAGAGAACATTTAGGGTGTGTTAGTTGCGATGGAATACCTCCATACTCTTTTTCTACTTTTGTCCACTTAATTACTGAAGTCAGTTAATCTGTTAATGGAGCCAACCAAAATGTTTACTTCCTGATTATTTCATTTAGAATATAAGGGTTTATATGGAGCAGCAGTAGAAAGGAAGAGTGAGTGTGCACATACACATGTACATAGCTGTAACTCAAAAAAAAAGTCAAAAGGTGAGTGTGTCTTTATAGAGATACATTGTTTCCCAGTATTTTGTTCTGTATAAATAGTTGTTTTGGTTTGTTTGTGAGTGCAGTTTGGGTCAGATACACACAAATATGTAATAGTTTTGAGAGTTTTTGCCATCCCTTTTTAATTGGTGAACTGATGGGCAGCACATGGCTTCCATGTCTGTACAAACATGTTCTTAGCTTATCAGTTCTTTTTGTCAATTCTTCTGGTCGAGTTTAAAGGGCCCATAATAAACTATTTTCTGATCTGTGTTCAAATGTTGTCTCCTCAGCACAAACAGACCCGGAGTTGTGTTTTGTTTAATTCACCAGACAAACACAAACACACAAACCCTGCATATTTACACTGAGTTCTTCTCTCAAACAGAAAACATTAAGGTGGAACACAGCATTTTGAGCTTTAGAGATCCATTTCAATCCACCCATTTTTTTTTTGGTTTATGTAGGACTGGGTCTCAGAGGGCAACAGTCTAAGCAGAGCCTCCCAGACTTCCTTCCTACAGCTCCTCCAGGGACTCCAGGGCGTTCCCAGATCAGCCCAGAGACATAGTCCCTCCAGCGTGTTCTGGGTTTTCCCTGGGGCCTGCTTCCCAGAACACCTCCCGAGGGTTTGGAGACTAATAATGTGGGATTACTCAGACATGTGTGAATGAAACAAAACACAAGTCCAGGTTTGTTTTTGAGGAGGTAATGACATTAGAACACGGCTTAAAACTCACAAGAATCAATTTTGCGTAATATAGATGCTTTAATGTGAACTTTCAACAGAATTCCATTATTAAAACATAAATCACAAATCTAGAAACCTGAATTATATATTTTTCCCCAAACGTTCAGCTGTACTGCCTAATAGTGACGTTTGTAATTCCACATACCTGGTTTTTCTCCAGACTGCACTCAGACATGGCTTTGTCCCCCTGCTCCTGAAATGTGATGATGATCAGAGCCACGAAGATGTTGACGAAGAAGAAGGGGAAGACCACGAAGTAGACCACGTAGAAGATGGACGTCTCCATGCGGAAGCCCGGGCTGGGACCCTGGTCTTCATAGGTGGCATCCATGGAGTGTTTCAGCACCCTGGACAGAGGCAGAGCGGCGCGTGAGGGAGAGCCACAGACTGTATACAGAAGTGGACTGAAGGACTGTGGTGTTCAGCTCCAAATGAAATTCATAAAGGCTAGCAGTTATAGGGGTGAATTTGAAGCTGAGTTTTACATTTGGAATTGATTTACAGACAAAATAGCAAAATAAAAAACCCAGGATCATGTAGAGTGGGTTAATATGAACATTTTAAGATCATAAAGACACTACCAGAGGTGGGTCACAAGTAAGTCTCAAGTCTTTGACCGCAAGTCCGAGTCAAGTCCAAGTCAAAAACAGGTAAGTCCAAGTCGAGTCTCGAGTCACTTCCAAGTCGTCTGCTTTGAGCTTCAAGTCATTTCAAGTCTTTAAACCAAAGTACCAAATATAACTTTGGTTTTTGCAATTTATATGAATTTTAAACTAAACTGTACAAAGGTCATGGTGTATTTATATATGAATATTTATATAAGAGTTGTAGAAGTGAATATTTATATAAGAGTTGTAGAAATGCAAATTTTTCCTTTGTAAATGTCTTGACAAGATATTAATGTGAATCATTACGGTCAGAACAGAAAGAATTCAGATTTAAAAGTGCTTAATAACATGTATTTTGTTGTGTAGTCTGCACTGAAATGGAAGAATCATGTTCTATGGAGTGTACTGTATATTACAGTATATTACTGTATTGCACTGTATATACTGTAGTACATTTGAGTACACCATATCACAGTACTTCAGTTTCATTCAAAAAAACAAACAGAAGTGGGAGGGACATGTTCCAGTTTGTTCCTGTATGCATCAACTGTAACGAGAAAAGTATTTTCTAAAAACATATTTTTTAGGAGAAGCATCAAGTCACAGGTCTTAAGTCCAAGTCAAGTCCCAAGTCTTAGACCATTTTATCAAGTCAAGTCTCAAGTCCTCAAATCTGACTCGAGTCCAAGTCACAACTTGCAAGTGCCCATGTTTGGACACTGTGTTTTACTTGTACTTGTCTATTGGAACTGCTAAATGTTGTTGTTTTGATGTACTTACTTTTTAATAGTGCTTATTTATTATTGTTTTTGTCTCTCTCTCTGGGTCACTGGGCCTTGGGGAGTGCATTTCATTCTGTCATGTGCTTTTCTCGCATGCTTGAATGACAAATAAAGAACCTTAAACCTTAATGACATCACAAGGTGGAACAGAGTGCTTCCAATTTGAGAGCAGAACTCAGCCTAAATATACAGAGTTTGTGTTCAACAACTCCAGGTGTGTTTGTGATAAGGAAACACCACAACAGAAAATCTGATCAGAAAATATTATAATATTTGAGCTTTAATAAAGTTTGCATTAGGTCATTTGAATTTGTATTAAATTTAAATTGATCCAATTGTGTCAAATTGTGTTTTTTGTTCTTGTTGTGTTAAATGACTCTGATTATTAAGATTCAAAAACATGTTATTTATTTAAAGATAAAAAAATTACTTCATAAAATGTGCGTATTTTCAAAGATTTTAAATGCAATATACATTCTAATGAACCAAAAACAGGCGTGCTAAATGTTAAATGTAATAATGGATAAGTGTGTACTGTGTGTGTAATAGCTCAGCCCTGCAGTGCAGTCCTCATGAAGACGCCGTCAATATTCCTCTAATAATTAAATGCATACAGTTCCATCACATGAAGAAATTGCCAATTGTCAGATGTATGAAGAGCCATGCCACTATCTGCATATTCTCACTTTCAGTCATTTCTAGTTTTTCTAGTGAGTTTGACAGGTTTTCATGATTTTATAATTCTGACTTGGTTTGGTTTGGCAGATACTTCCTGTGGTCAATATTTATCATAATTTTACATAAAATACATAAAATGTGTCACTATAAAAGAAGATGACATGTTTGTCATCAAAATGAGCCCATTACAGCTCTGTCCAGCTCTGCATCCAGAACCAATCCTTTACGTCTGAGGTTGTGTTTTTCACAAAATCTTCAAATACTCATTTCTGAGCACATCTTAATTCCATTTCATTCCATTTTGCCTCAGTGTGGAGGAATTTTCCACGTGTCTTTCCTGCTCCAAACAACACTGATGTATTTAGTGTGGATCTCTATGGCAGCCATTAACTCAGCCTTTAACATCCACTGACACAGACATACAGACTGATGCATAAAGCAAAACGAATAAAATATCACAGTTGTAATAAGCACTATGAATGTTTTTTGACTGTTGTTATTTGAAATAAACTTTTAATTAAATATTGGAAATTCAGGTTGAAATGTTTTTTTTGTTTTGTTTTTTTTGACGCTAAAAAAAGAATAATGAAATAACAAACTGTTTTCTTAGTTTATAGTTGTTTGTTCTTAGTTAAAATTCAAAAGAACAAATGGTACACAGACCGATAAGCATTACAATTGTTCTCAGTAAAAGTTAGATTTGATTTGAGGATGTTTACCTCATCTCTGGGGACACAGTTAGCTCAAGTTGATTGAATCTCACATATGGTTCCTTAAGTATATTTTAGTGAGATGTGTAGTCTAAACTGTCATATTCACTTTCAGTTTTTTTTTTGCTTTAGACAAGTTTCCCATTTCCCGTCGAGCTGAAGCTGATGAGAGCCACACAATAGACGATGATGTAGGTTTGGGTGATGTGAAGAGGTCTGACTTCTCCTTCACACACACACACACACACACGCACACACACACACGCACACACACACACACACACACGCACACACACACACGCACACACGCACACGCACGCACATACAGGCATTCTTCACTGTGCTGTGTGTGTTCCTCCACGTGTGACCACTCCCACTCCTCATCACACAAACACACTCAAGGACTCATGACTTTGGATTATTTTCTTAAACTCTATTCACATGGAATTAGTTTGACCTGTGGACATTAGGTGATTTGTAATAATAGTGGAGGATATCTTAGATCTTAATCCTGTGTGAATGTGCCATGTTTGTCATTTGTAAAGTCAAAATTCTGCTGCAAATGGCCAACTATATTTTACCAAACACAGACGTCCGGTGATAATACTAGTCCCGTCTGAATCTGCATCTCAGTGTTTGTTGTTGTTTTTCTGTCTCTTTCTTTTCTCTTTCAATCTCTGTGTCAGTAAAATAGAGTCAAGATAGAGGCCAGACGTCTCCATGTTGTACTTATCGAGTGTGAATAGGACTTTAGCTGACACAGGGCTGGAGCGTGTAACAGTATGATCTTGTGTTGAGAAACAGTCTGACCCTGTGATGATGTCCGAACCTGTGGACATGATCATACAGTCATTCGGTGCTTTTCTGTTTAAAGGGCCCATTTTACTCTTTTTTCTGATCTCAGTTATAATGACTTGTGATGTCATGTGGTAATACAGGAAGAGCAGTGTTTTTAAACTCCATGCACTTTCATTAAAAAACATCTGGATAATTTCAGACCTGGAATTTCCCATCTCTATTAAAAAATACTGCTTTGTGACATCATAAGGTGGGACAGACTAATAATAAAGGATTAGTCAAATATGTGTGAGTCAAACAAAACTCCAGGTATATTTTTGATGAGTTAACTGCATTTTCTGACATGGCTTAAAGCTCAAAAGAGTCCATTTTGTGTAATACTGGACCTGTAACCCACTCCTCCTGTTGGTCATCTTCTCAGTGTCATGTGGGTTTAATCAGTCACAGTGAAGTCTGGACTCTCAGAAGAAGCCATTTTGTATATATTTAGTTACAATATAATTAAAGGGTCTGGTCATAATTTTGAACCATGAGTGAAGAAAGAACTGTTAGTACTGTTTCACTTACGTACATAAACAGACCCGTGTGTTCCACATGCTGTAACTGTCATTGTGTTTCTACTTCCAAAAGTTTTAATGTCAAGTCTGTGTTCTGTTAAACACCAGGGGGCATGAAAGTCAGTTTGAGAATAGACCAAACTGATGAAATAGAGCATCAAATACACAAACACGGCGCTGCCCACGGCAGTTTGTTGTTTTGCAGCTGGTTCTAGTCACTTTTTTAAAAGTTCAGATTCCAGTATGGAGCAGTGTTCACTGCTGCCCCCAGTGGTCAGCTCATGTACTGCTCTGGTGCAAAGATTCCACATGTTGTGAGGAGATGGACCAAGTGACGAACAGAACAGACAACAAAACCGACAGAGCAGGACAGACAGAAGTCTCTATGTGCATCCGTATGCTCAGAGCATAAGGCAAGGCAAAGCAAGTTTATTTGTACAGCACAATTAGTACACAAAGTAATTCAAATGAGCCTGTAGTCCCATCTGTGAAGTGGAACCATAACAGAACTGCTGTCTGGGCTGTCTGCACACACAAAATAAATGTCTATCTTTTTCTCACAAATGCCTACTTTTAAAATACACTGTATGGATTAAGGCTTGAAAAAAACACTTTAAAGTCATGTACTTGTATAGTGTATAGTGTATAGTATATACTGTATAGTGTAAACTGTATACTGTATACTGTATAGTGTATACTGTATACTGTATAGTGTATACTGTATACTGTATAGTGTATACTGTATACTGTATACTGTATAGTGTAAACTGTATACTGTATACTGTATAGTGTATACTGTATACTGTATAGTGTAAACTGTATACTGTATACTGTATACTGTATACTGTATAGTGTAAACTGTATACTGTATAGTGTATACTGTATACTGTATACTGTATACTGTATAGTGTATACTGTATACTGTATAGTGTATACTGGGAGTACTCACAGCGGCCAGCCTTCCCCAGTGGACACAGTGAAGAGTGTGAGGAAGGCCCACAGCACGTTGTCGTAGTGGAACTCGTACTTCTTCCACTCTCTGGGCTGAGCGGCCACGTCCTCACGGTCATAGTCCAGGAACTGACCCCTAGAGACCACACACACAAGAGGCTCACATATACACAGATATACTATAGATATACTATGTAAAGAAGAGCACAAGAGGCTGGAAGGGCATCTGGTGTGCAGGGGGAATAAGAAACAACAAAAGAGCAAACCAAAAAAGCATGGATTTGATATTTGGTGAATAATTTTCTTATTTATGAACTTATTTATACAAAGCTATTTTGTAGTCTGGATAAACACATTACAAAACACATTAGGGTTAATTTGGGCTATTTATGTTTTAAGGAAATATGCTTCTGTCAGTCTGAGCTCTGGCATCATTTGAAAAAGAAACTTGTTTTTTTTTTTTTTTCCCTCATACCAATCGTCTTTCAACACATGTTCACACACATGGGGATGGGGACTGGGGATTTTGGGAACTTTTTTAGTAGCTCCTGCAGGTGTGGTGGAGGTACTTTCTAGTCAGACCAGGAAACATTTTGAGACTTTATTGATCCATAAGGAATTATAAATTAAAAAGGACATTAGGAAAAAATACTCATATATTAGGGTTGCGAATCACAAGGTTGATCATGATTTGATACAATACATGATACATGGCTCACGATACAATATTATCTCAATATGGTGATACATGTGAAAATATTGCTCACAGTATTCTGCAATATATCACTATTTTAAGAACCAAATACATTTTAACAACAGTATTTCTTTGTGAAACCTGCACCTGTGTAGAGTCAATATAGAATAAACCAACTGTACCTACTAAAACATAAATATGTTTCCTTTCTCTGAACAAACATCAAAAATCGAGACACCATGATACATGGCCATACCGGCTTGTCAAAGCCTGATCCTGTACCATCTCAGAAGCTAAGCAAGGCTGGGCCTGGGTAGTACTTGGATGGGAGACACTGGGAAAATCAGGAGCCACAGTGGGGCGCCAGTTGCAAAAACTGTTGTTGTGTCCATAGGCAAGACACTTCACCCACATTGCATAGTATGAAAGTGGTGTGAGCATTAGTGGTGGTGGTCGGAGGGATTGATGGCGCCAATTGGCATGGCACCTGCGCTTCTGTCAGTCTGCCCCAGGCAGCTGTGGCTACAATAGTAGCTTACCACCACTGGGTGTGAAGAAAAAGAATCATGAGTCTATAATGCTCTGTAAAGTGTCTTTGTGACATATGTCTGTGAAAAGCACTATATAAATAAAGACTTACTTATCAAATAATTCAGTAAAATATTCTATATACTATACTCGATTGATTTTGATATTCTGACACTCCCCTGTTATATATTTCAAAGTAATGCTTAATAACAAATCGTCAGTCGTTTTTCTTTAGTTTAAAAGCTGGATCACTAAATGTGATCTCATTCATTACATAAACTGTTAAACATCTAGCAGAGATTTTCTCACCTGCAGTCCTTCTCCAGGCCCTTTGACTCGTCTGTGCAGTAGAAGAACTTCCCTTTGAATAGCTGCACGGCGATGACAGCGAAGATGAACATGAAGAGAATGTACACGATCAAGATGTTCAGAACGTTCTTCAGAGAGTTCACCACACAGTCAAACACCGCCTGAAACAGAGAGAAAGAGTCAAACACCACCAGAGAAAACAGAGAGAGAAAGAGTCAAACACCACCAGAGAAAACAGAGAGAGAGTCAAACACCACCAGAGAAAACAGAGAGAGAGTCAAACACCTTTTGAAAACAGAGAGAGAGAGAGAGACAATCAAACACCAACTGAGAAAACAGAGAGAGAGAGTCAGACACTGTCTGAAACAGAGAGAGAGAGACAAACTCTGCCTGAGAAAAGAGAGATAGAGAGTAAGAGTCAGACACCGCCTGAAAACAATGTCAGACAGCGGTTAAGAAAAGTAGGAGCTGGCTTATACCTTAAGTAACATCAGCCATATTTGTGTAAATCACGTTGAGATGTTGTTGTCACCAATTTTGATTTTAAGTAAAAGACTCAATACTCGGAACCGATTCCGATCCCACAATCATAATTATAAAAAACTATTATTTCAATAGAATGTCATCTGCAACATGAAATGGTAGAACTTTCTTTTCTCTTCCTATGTGGCTCAACATCATTGTAAAGACATTCAGGAAAGGTTCTGCTCTGTCCTGTCACTTTTTAGTATCGATACCTACAAAAAATGAGTTTTGATACTAGTTTTAATATCTATTAGTATGTGATTTTCCATACTTTTGACAATCCTATAATGATTTGTTAGAGGAGAATCTGTGCGTAGAACCAACAGTACATTTCATATTTCATCCTTCTACAAACAAACATGGCTGTCCTCATGTGAGCCTGTGTGCACCTGTCAGCCTGCCCCTGTCAGATCTCGGAGCTGCCTCAGAGCGTATGTGTGTGCATGTGTGTGTTTGTGTGTGCATGTGTGTGTTTGTGTGTGCATGTGTGTGTTTGTGTGTGCATGTGCATGTGTGTGTGTCTCAGCCTGTCTGTCATCCTCTCAGTCTGTCTCTCTCTCCGTCTCTCAGTCTGTTCTTCTGTCTATCAGAGCACTGGGCCCAGATCACAAAGAGCTGTCATCTTCCATCTGCCTCAGTCCTCTCCTCCATTCTCCCATTCACACCCCCAGCCCCTGTCACTGCCCCTGTCACTTCTGTCCTTCACAGAGAGACCACATGACCTTGGAGAGCTCAAGGACTGCATCAAGGACTGTAAAGCAAATGTACAGTAATGTGTAAAGAAGAATATGTGTCCATGTATGTGCCTCATCATGACACTTTATGTGACATTGATACAATTTGATGAGTGGAATTATCTAAACTTCTAAACAGAGGTGGGACCAAGTCGTTGTTTTGCAAGTCTCAAGTGTGTCTCAAGTCTTGGACCTCAAGTCCAAGTCAAGTCCCAAGTTAAAGACAGGAAAGTCCAAGTCAAGTCACTGGCCTATAAATCCAAGTCCAGTCCAAGTCGTCTCCTTTGAGCTTCAAGTCAATTCAAGTCTTTAAACCAAAACACCAAATATATATATGTAATATATTTGCAATTTATATGATTTTTAAGTTAGATTTTACTTAAAAGTCATGGTATATATATATATATATATATATATATATATATATATATATATATAAAAGACAATTTATTTAAGAGTTGTAGAACTGCTAATTTTTCCTTTTAAATGTCTTGACAAGATTTTAGTGTGAACCGTTATGGATAGAATAAAAAGAATTCAGATTAAAAAGTGCTTAATTACAGTTATGTTATCATGAAGTCTGCACTGAAATGGAAGGATCATATTCCAAAACAGGGGTCTCCAACCTTTTTCCTCGGGTGAGCTACCTTTACAAGACAAAAATTCCAGAGAGCTTCTAATTTTAGCATTTGCAGGAAATAAAGTGCCATGGCTTACTGTGGATGTGGTACAGTTGTATAAAATATAAACCATTATTTATGAGTGCACAAAGTCGGGCATCCAAATCATAGATTTACAATAATAGGCATTTAATTCATCAAATTAGAGTTATTCAGGAAAATATGTGTAATTCAGAAATAAGATAAGATAAGATAAGATAATCCTTTATTGTCTCCCATGGGAGAAATTTGTCTTGGGACAGGGGGTAACATGTTTTATCAAAAAAACAGGACAACACAACACAAAGCAGCACATAAACAAACACCATAAAACAAAGTAAATATGAGACCAGTATGACCACGAGTGATGCACCAACACGACCCTTAAATTATCCTTAACAGGCCCTTGCATTCTTCTGTTCTATTAATTATTGCACATTCCCTAAGCCTATGTGCAGTTTTAGTTATAATTATTGCACATTCCCTAAGCCTATGTGCAGTTTTGATTGCACATTCCCTAAGCCTATGTGCAGTTTTGATTGCACATTCCCTAAGCCTATGTGCAGTTTTAGTTATAATTATTGCACATTCCCTACGCCTATGTGCAGTTTTGATTGCACATTCCCTAAGCCTATGTGCAGTTTTGATTGCACATTCCCTAAGCCTATGTGCAGTTTTTGTTATAATTATTGCACATTCCCTTGGCGAGCTACTTGAAAGAGGGTGAGAGAGAGCTACCTAACCCAAGCTACAGGTTGAAGAGCCCTGTTCTATGTAGTTCTCTCTGTTTTACTGTATCGTACTATATATTACTGTAGTACATTTGAAGATATCATATGACAGTACTTCCATTCAAAGTAACAAACAGAGAAGTGGGAGGGACAGGTTCCAGTTTGTTCCTGTAAAATTAAGCACCAAATTTGTCAACTGTAAAGACAAAAGTATTTTATAAAAACATATTTTTTAGGAGAAGCATCCAGTCTTCTCAAGTCACAGGCCTCAAGTCCAAGTTAGGTCCTAAGTCTTAGTCCATTTTATCAAGTCTCAAGTCCTAAAATAGTGACTCAAGTTTGACTCGAGTCTAAGAAATGACAAGTCCCACCTCTGCCCAGATGTCCCCATTTTCTGACCAATTTGATCTTGCCAACAGTAAAGAGCCATAAATTGTCACTTGTTTTGGTAAAATACAGAAAAGCTGCTTAAAAATGGCCAAAACACAAAGAAAATGTGACTATACTGACTCACATGTTCGTCATGAATGGACCAAGTGCAGAACAATTTTCCTTAATTACACACTCGTTTCACAATTTTATTATTACCAACCACCACATCCAGTCGTCCCATATTTTTTGTAATTTCTGTAATCCAACATTCTATCGGCCAATATTTAACACAGACGGGGGAGCAGCAAAAATGTGTATTGTTAAAACACAGATTCTTCAGTTCTTGAGTCTAGTCACACATATTACAAACAAGTACCACACGTATTAACATTGTAAATCTGTACATCTGCACCGCAAAGTCACTGAGCCGAGTTTCAGCCATAACATAACATATTAACATGACCCGTGTGAGCCGTGTGAGCCGTGTGAGCCGTGTGAGCCGTGTGAGCCGTGTGTCTGACCTTGAGCTTGGGCAGTCGTTTGATGGTCTTGAGCGGACGCAGCACCCTCAGCACTCGCAGGGACTTGATGGTGTTGATGTCTTTGCCCTTGGTCCCTCTGTGCACAAGCAGAGTTTTATTTAGTTTAGAGTAAAAAAAAAACTAAAAAGCAAAAAAAGAACAGGGCATTAGAGCGTTCTACAGGCAGCTGATGGGAGAAGAGTTACGGTGTCATGCATAGGTTCACATGTGTTATTCCACAGACACTACGTGATTTCAGAATGATTTCTTTGACACTGACGATATATACGCAAAATTAAAAAGGAGACTGAATTTCAGTTGGATTTTAAAGGCCTTCTATTAAGCAAGATTTATACTTTAAACTGTTATAATGCTGTTATCTCCTCAAAAACACACCTGGAGTTGTGTTTTGTTCCACCTTATGATGTCATGAAGCTGTCGTTTTCAAGTAAACAGCTCTTTTAGTTGTTTAGTAAAAACTGGAAATTTGATGGCTGAAATAATCAAAATGATTCTATTGAAGGTGTGAACTGAGTCTAAATGTGCAGGTTTTGTGTGTTAAACATGTGAATGAAACAAAACACAACTCCAGGTCTGTTTGTGACGCGGAAACGACATTAGAACATCGATCAGAAAATAGTGTAATATGGAGCCTTTAACTGTTTTTTACTGAGACTTCTACTTCTACTACATTACAACATACAACTACTATAACTGCTACTGCTACTAGGGCCGCTTCAATTTTGTGGAAGAAATTATCATTATAATGGTTTGCTTCAAAATAGAAGTCATAATTGTTTCATTAAAAGTGAAATGTCAAATGTTAACCTGTGGAGGAAGAATAGATTTGTTTCTTAGTAATATTTTGTGATATATCTTTGTCAAAATTCAATCAAATTGGATTAATGGCATAATCCAAGCTTCTACTAGTAGTAATAAACCTACTCTTAACAGGCCCATGTTACACTATTTTCTGTGTCTCATCACAAACAGACCTGGAGGTGTGTTTTGTTTCATTCACACATGTTTAACACACAGATTCTTTAGATTTAGGCTGAGTTCTTTCTCTCAAATGGAAAACACCCTGTTCCACCTTGTGATGTCAGATGCAGTGTTTGGAGTAACGTGTTATAAAAGTAACGGATTACTGTACTGCATTGGTTTTTGCTGTAACGCAGTAATGTTAAGGCCTTACAGGGAAAATAATGGTCATATATTACTCAGTACAAATGTGAGTAACACGTGTCACAATGCATTTTAACCTGGACTGAAGTGATGGGTCTTTAGTTTTTCTTCCTACAAATTCTCTAAAATCACTGTGATAGCAGTGGTGAAACGCCATCGTTATGGTTCCGAAAATGGGAATGGATCCAGAGGTGCGCCCACGTAGACCGTCGGGTGACCGCGGGCGAAAGGGCCGATGCAGAACTCCACGCTCCACGGGGCTAATCGCAGCCGACCCTCGATTGCACTTTGCGAACACTCTGCTCCACAGGCTCGGGGTTCTCTTGGGGCGGTCCTAGATTCCAAGTCCTAGTCCAAGGTTAGTCCTGGTTTGGTCCTGGTTTGATCCTGGTTTGATCCTGGTTTGGTCTTGGTTTGGTCCTGGTTTAGACCTGGTTTGATCCTGGTTTGGTCCTGGTTTAGACCTGGTTTGGTCCTGGTTTAGACCTGGTTTATTTCTAGTTCAGTTCTGGTTCAGTCCATATGCGGTGCAAAAGTTTGGTATCTTCGCTCACTGATTGTTATTTGACAAGGAGCGACAGTTAATTTGGTGAGAGTAACTTAAAAGTGCTCCAATAGTCGTGCAATGCCTTACATTTGAAACACAGTAATATTGTAATGTAACAAAATACTTTAAAATGACAGTAAATCATAAATAACACATTACAGTTTTGAAGTCACTCGCCCGACAGTGCTCATATAGTAATACAGGAAGTTCTCCACTGTGTTTTTAAACTCCACACACCTTCACTAGAATCATTTGGATGATTTCAGGTCTGGATTTGTCAGTCTCTATTAAGATAAAAGGTAACTGTTCATTTGAAAACTACGGTTCATGACATCACAAGATGGAAGGGGGCATTTTCAGCTATGGAGATGTAGACAGACTAATAATAAAGAGTTACTCAAACATGTGAATGAAACAAAACACAACTCCAGGTCTGGTTCTTGAGCTAAAAACATTCTAACATGACTTAAAGTGTATTGTAAGACCTTTAAAACTACACTCCAGCTACTATAAGTGTACATTATAATTTCAGTTATTCTTAAATGTAAAACTCAAACAATAAACTGTATTAAAGTGTATATTTCTAACTACTACCATAACAACTACTGTACATCTCCTACTGTAACTCTCTAAGCTACAATTACAGCGAGTATGGCCTCTATCTCGTCCCTATCATTATCTAATTATCTAATCAGCGCGCCTCAATCATGTTCACTTCTAAATCGTGCGTTTTCTGTAGAATAACACAGCCTATCAAACAAAACGTCTCCCATCACAGAACGCAAAGAAGGGGGCGGTTCTTTGCAGGAGCTGGTGCTGTCTGTTCGGAGAAGCACGGGCTGCGTCAGGCCAGGGAGGGGGCCCAAATCACTCTCACGCTAATAACAGAGAGCGGAGGGGCCGTCACACACGAGGAGGGGCCCGAGGACGCCGCACGGGGCCCCAATTAACCAGTCACACACACATCACATGCCGTCAGCCCACACCATCATGGCCGGCCCTTCTACTCCCGCCGATAAGAAAAGTCAGGTTATTTTTATGGTTCAGAAGCTATTTTCTACATGTTTTCTTTGGTTTTCTCTGGTTCTTTGGTCCAGTATTACACAAAAAGACTCTTGTGAGCTTTAAAACACATTACTGTAATTTCCGGACTATTGAGCACACCTGTACGGAAGCCCTGAGAGGCGAGAGAAAAAACAAACAAAAAAAGAGGCAGGTCATTTGGGCTGTTTTTTTTTTTTTTTTTTTCTTTTTTTCACCAACTCAAAAAATAAATTAATTTTTTTCTAAACTTGGGCTCTGAGCCCAAGTTTACTCACACAAGAGAATAAAAAATACAAATTTTGTGGAAATAGTTTTTATTTATTTATTTATTTATTTTTAGAATTATATTTTTTTTAATTGTAGATTTTTTATTTTTATTTTTTTGAGAAAAAAAACTTGGAAAATAGAGCCCAGATGACCTGCCTCTTTCTCTCTCTCTCTCTCTCTCTCTCTCTCTCTCTCTTGCCTCTCAGGGCTTCCGTACGCCTGAATATAAGCTGCATCAACTAAATTTTAAAAGAAAAAAAATTGTACACAGGCCGCACTTGTTTTTTTTTTTTAATTGTTAATTAAAAACTGTTACCGGCTTTTTTCTGAGCAGTGCCTGTAACACGGCAGGAAAACGACAATCACTTGCTCTACTGTGGATGTCCCCTGCAGAAAGAGCCTCTGTACTGTCTGTATCATGTCAGTGTCTTGTAGGAGTTCAGCAGATTTCAGACTCTCCTGGGGGCGGGGATAGGTGTATCGATCAGGTATAAGGGGATGGATGTCCGGCTCCTGAAGTTTGAGACGTTTTTTCTCGTCATTTACACGCTCACCTACATTTAAATCATACGGGTCATTAAGACGTATCCCCCTCATCAATGTTCATTTAGTATCAGAACTTATTTTATCACACACTGATAAACTGTTTTAGTGCTGACAACATCACTAGCGAGCGCTGCAACTTCATGTTAGTCGCACAGACAGCAGCACTTGAAATAATCCATCTATTTATTCGCTGCACCGTTGTTTAAGCTGCAGGATAGTGTGAGGGAAAAGTAGCGTCTTGTAGTCCGGAAATTAACGTATAATATTGTTTCCTCCTCAAAAACAGAGTTGGAGTTGTGTTTTGTTTCATTCACACATGTTTGATTAACTCTTTCTTATTAGTCTTATTAGTCTGTCTACATCTCCAAAGCTCAAAATGCTCCGTTCCATAGGGTGACCATATTTCCGTATTTTCCGTGAAAATCCAGACACCTTACCGGGGGTGGGAGGTGGGACATCGACATTGAGCTACTCTCACCTCACAAACTGTGCACATGGCCTCCCACTTGTCTCGACCAGGACAGAAAATACAGAATTTCTTGTGCAAGTCATCACTGAATGCGCATTTGCACTTGGGCATGTTACAGGCTGACCGACCGTTATGTCTGCTCGCTCCTTCTGAGTGCAGAGAGCCATAAGAGACGCTCAATTTAATGGTCCAATGAAAGATCATGAAAACCCAGACTTTTCCATCACTTAAAAAATACCCCAAAAAACGGATGCCCAGGACAGGACGCAAGAAATGGACATGTCCAAGGCAGGGATGGGCATTCGATTAAATTTTCTTAATCAATCATCGGGAGAATTAACGATCAATTATCGATTAATCATTAATGTTTTTATATTAAGATGAACATCATTTTTATTACTATCTGCACTACTAATCTGCATAAATAAATTAAACTTTACGACATATAAACCATAACCACTCTAGAGCCACATCAGCCCATTTGACATTATAATATGTTTAACTTTGCATGAGTCTCACAGAAATGAAACTTAAAACCACATAAACTAAACGAAGAAAAAAACAGCTCTTGTGTCACTGATGTGGTTCAACTTCTGTCGGATTAAAGGACATGACTCAGTGGAATACAGGTTAGTGTGACCAGATTTGTGTTTGTCAAAACCAGGACACCGTATGGGGGGTGGGAGGTGGGGACTCATTGACATTGCACGACTCTCACCTGGTAAAACTTTTCATGTTTTCGGTGAGCTGGACACCGACACATATGTGCTGCTTTGTACACTGTGCACATGGCCTCCCACTTGTCCCAACCGGAATGGAAAGCGGGGAATTTTTTGTACAAGTCATCGTTAAATAGGCATTTGTGCATCGGCACGTTGCAGACTGACCGACTGTTTGTGTCTCGCTCCTTCTGATGCAGAGACGCTACATGTCCGAACCCAGTTTGGTCTCCCTACACTACGCACAGCAACCTACATTCGGTTTGTGGATCAAAAATGAACGTAATCAATAAAATTGTTAATGATCAATTATTGATTAATCGACTAATCACGCCCATCCCTAGTCCGAGGAAAAACGGACGTTTGGTCACCCTAGTGTTCCATCTTGTGATGTCATGAAGTGATAGTTTGCAAGTAAACGCCTCCTTTTATCTTTAGTTCAGTAGAGCTTGGAAATTCCAGGTCTGAAATGATCCAAATGATTCTAGTGAAGGTGTATGGAGTTTAAAAACACAGTGGAGCACTTCCTGTATAACCATGTGACATCACAATGTGGAACAGTGTTTTCCATTTGAGAGAAGTACTCAGCTTAAATATACAAGGTTTGAGTGTGAAACATGTGTGAATGAAACAAAACACAACTCCAGGTCTGTTTGTGATGAGGAAACGACATTAGAACATTGCTCAGTGTAATATGTGCCCTTTAACATGTGAGTACTTTTTGAGAGCCTATTTTTACTTATTCCCTTTTGTTCTGTCTTAGACTAGAATAACAGTCCCTCACACATGACCTGAGACACCTGATTTGCACTGGACCATGTGTAACTCTATGACAAAGCCCTGCTGCTATTTTTACCCGAGATGACACAAAACCTACAGAGAGGCCTGGCTCCATACATTCACAGCTCCAGGGGCTAGTTCTATTTTCTATGTCAATGAAAAAAAAACACAACCAGGTCTGAGGAAAAGGCATGCAGCGCTCATGCTCGGATGCCCCGCTAACTGTGGCATGCAATCTGCAAAACACGGGAAAGGACTGTGAGCGGGCGTCTCTGCGCTTCAGACATCAGAACGCACTGACGGCATCATTGCATTCCCAACAGCTTTCAGAAGGAAGGAGGGCGGGGCTGGAGGGGAGGCGGGGTCAGAGGGCAGAGGAGAGGGCTGTGATTGGTCGAGGTCGGGGTCAGCAGTCAGTATTAGGTTAGTGCACAGAGACGTGAGATAAGGAGACTGGTGCTGAGGGCTCCTCTGGCTCAGCAGAACAAAGACTTCAGTTCAGACATGGGTCACCTCTGGGCTTTGATTTAGATTGGATTTCTACCTTTAGAATGATAATTTCTTAAATTTTTGTTATGCCTGAAAACCTTCTATACACTTTATCACAATTTTGTAGGTTTTGGTACACTTTTAAGTTAATTTAAAGAAGGCTTATTATGCAAAATTGACCTTTTGGAGCTTTCTACCATGTTTTAACATTGTTCCCTCATGCATGTTTGAGTAATCTAGCGATCTCTCCCGGGCCCTATATGAACCCTTCTTATGGTGAGCAGTACGAGCCTGTATAAGGCTCTGCCCACGAGCCTCAAAGCAGGATAGAAAACAATAACACACTACAACTTCACAAACCTGATGCGATGTGCAATATTTTCATTAGAGGAGTGTTGTCACTCTCCCTTCAGAGTGACTTAGCATGGGGAGTAAAGGACATAAGACATACGACGTCATTTCCTAGTGGTCCAGAGTGTTGGAGACGTGTGGAGACACTTTTTGAAATATTCCATCCAGTCCTTGTATTTGCAGAGGTCACTGGTGTTAGACTAGTGCATGTCAATGGTCATAGTTCTACTGCCACTAAAAACAGTCTTACCCACTCCACAAAACACCCCAAACAAATCTATTATTACACCAGACTGTCCATGTGAATGTCTGTGTTGATAGAATCATTTTAGAGTCCCTCAACATGTGACGATTCAAAGACAATACAAGGTTAGTTTTTTTTTTTCAAACATGATTAAAGTAAAAAAAAAAAAAAAACGGTAATGAGATCTGCATTATTAAATATTTGTGAAGAATCTCTCAGTCGTCCAGGTAGAATCCACAAGGAGAAAAATTCAGTTTGTCGACTGGACAAAAGTTAGTTTGGTTGAAGACGTTTCGCAGCTGCTTCTTCAGTTGTGGTCAGACGCTGGTGGACACTTCCTTATATCTGCAGGGAGGAGCGAACTACACTGAAACTAACACACACACTTGTTTACAGTTTTTGTTTGTGAGTTCGGTCTGTTGACCTGTACAGGGTGTGGGGTCTAATTAACATAACAATTCATGACCATAATGGAGCTTCCACACCTCTGGACCTGACCTGGCTAAACCTGTTGTTCTCTTGTTTGTTTTCCCTGCAGATATAAGGAAGTGTCGACCAGCGTCTAACCAGAACTGAAGAAGCAGCTTGGATGAGCTGCGAAACGTCTTCAACCAAACTAACTTTTGTCCAGTCGACAAACTGAATTTTTCTCCTCATTATTAAATATTATCATTATCATTGTTAACAGCGCCACATACAGGTGTGGCAGATGTATTATGTGAATATTTATTGATCTGACAAATCAATAAATGGATGCAAATCTTTTCAGCCCATAAAAGAAAAAATCCAGGAGCGTTGTTGTGTGGACATCGCCTTAATGTTCCTTCCTAAAAGCACGGGTGAGAGATTGTGTTGTGTAAAGCGCAGACAGTTGGAGCGTCAGAGCTGACAGTGAGCAGAGCCTTATCAGACGGGACGAGGTCTGACTGCGAGTGAAGAGATTACGGAGGCAGATCTATGGAGTGTGTGTCTAATCTGCTCCTGCTCTGTTTTACATGGGCTTACACACAAATCGATACACACAACTGCTCCTCAGCTACTGCCGCAATCACACAATCAGAGGAGAGCGGCTTTAGATACAAGTGTGTGTGCCATAAGTCGTTTGTTGTGTTAAGGCTGCAGCTAACTGTGTTCATTGATTATAGTCAAATCAGTTAACTGCTTTCTCTCTGCTAAATGGAGACACTAAATAGTGAAAAAAACTAAAGAAAAAAAAAACTAAAGATACAAACTAACAATACAAACACTGCAACGAAATATAAATAAATGAGTACAGACTGACACGTGTGCTTTTGTGTACGGTAATTGATACCCGGGTGACCATCGACACAGACATTCACATGGACAGTCTGGTGTAATAATAGATTTGTTTGGGGTGTTTTGTGGAGTGGGTAAGACTGTTTTTAGTGGCAGGAGAACTATGACCACTGACATGCACTAGTCTAACACCAGTGACCTCTGCAAATACAAGGACTGGATGGAATATTTTAAAAAGTGTCTCCACACGTCTCCAACACTCTGGCTCACTAGGAAATGACGTCCTGTGTCCAAAATTCTGGACTGTTCCTTTAATCAAGACAAACCTGAAATACTGGAAGAATAAGGTCAAATCTGCGTTCTGCATTTTTTCAGGAAGTATCGCTTTTAGATTGTAATCAATACTGAAATTTCAATACAGAGGGAACCGCTCTTTTTAAAGACAATAGTGTAATAAAAAAAAAAATCTAAATAATAGCTTTTTAATCTCTTCTTATATATATTTCTGATATAGATTGAGATCAAAAGCAGGAAAATCCAGCTATGCCCTAAATATTCTTTAATACTTTTTTTTTTCAATACAATTTTAAATACTTTTTTTTTTCTTTAATAGTAGTTTTAGTATTGATCAGTTTCTTAGTATCAGTTTTTTGGAGCTGTCTATTCTCCCCTCACAATCCAATTATTAAAATAGTATCTCTGCATTACTGTTAAGATTATTTTGTTATGGTTCTCATTCTGTGCGGATAAATTCTGGAGTTTTGTTTTCTTTTTAATTTGAATGTGTGCCGTCTCTCATCTCGACCCGTTAAGCACCCACTCCCAACAGCACCCACTCTCCGTTCTCCCGAAAGCTTTGAGCTCCCAATATTGTTTCTTATTCCAGTCTCAATATTGGCGTGCGGCCCCTTTAAGAAACAGGCATGTAGATGTTTGGACAGGGAGGGGGTCAGATCCCATAATCCACTGGGATCAGGAGGAATCGTTCGAGGTGAACCGTGTGCTGAGGTCTGTGGCTAAGGTCTGAAGGTTTTGGGTGAGGTCTGGGGTGAGGACTGAAGGTCTGGGCTAAGGTGTGGGGCTGAGGTCCAGAGCTCAGGTCTGGAGTGATGTCTAGGGGGCTTAAGTTTGGAGGTCTGGGCTGAGGTCTGGGTCGAGGTCTGGGCTGAGGTCTAGGGGGCTCAGGTCTGGAGGTCTGGGCTGAGGTCTAGGGGGCTTAGGTCTGGAGGTCTGGGCTGAGGTGTTGGGGGCTCAGGTCTGGAGGTCTGGGCTGAGGTCTAGGGGGCTCAGGTCTGGAGGTCTGGGCTGAGGTCCAGGAGGAGGAGGGAGATAACTGGGGGTTTATGAGGGTTTTACTGCAGTCCAGACGTTTCCCACCTGGCTATGCTCTGCTGAGATCTGACAAGAAGCACAGTGATAAAAGAGTTGAACAACAGAGCAGGACGGCACAGCACAGAGCAAAAACACCACAAAGAGAAACACAACACAAAGAGAAATTACTGCTATAAAAAAGAGAAAGAAAAGGGTCAATCATGTGACAACACTGGCACTTTAAAGTACTGTATGTGCATGTGCCCCTGCTGGATTAAAGAGGCCACTACAGGCACTTTGGAAATATTGATGTTGTCTAAAAACATAACACACAATTGCTTAGTGTTTAAAGGTACACTATGTAACTTTTCTGGTGGAGGGTCTGATTGTCTATTCCTATAATGTTCCACAGTATGGCATTAAACATAACCATCTTTAAGGAGGCGAGCAGAAATCCCACTAGACATAAGTTACAGGTCTGGGAGGAATGGACTGGTATCGAATCTCAGCACTGATCCAGATGAAGATGCTGATTCGGATATCGGTTCCAAGATATCGGTTCAGCTGATATCTCGGTTGAGCTTTTAACTGAATGTAATGAGACTATTTAGTGACTGTCGTAGGTCCAGGATGTGTGATAATGTTCCTCTCACAGGAAGAACACACGTTTTTCAAGATATTTTTGAGCAATGTAAATGTAAATGTATTTCACACTGTAGAATAGTCCAGTCAAAGCATGTATGGAAACAAGCAGGTAGTGCACCCCCGTACAGAGTGCACCTTTAAAAAAGTACAAGAGATGTTATTTCCAATTAAAACAAGATTTCCAATTAAAACAAGATTCCATGGTCTGTTGAAAATTAACCGTTGGAAAATTGTTCTAACCCCCTCTCATCCAAAAGGGAAGTTTGCAAGGGGCTCGTCCTTTGGGAGGTATTGTTTTGGCAGTAGAGAGCCCTGTAATGAAAACAAAAATAATAAATGCAAGAGAGATAAGCTTAATGCCTTAGTGTGGAAAGCTCCAGGCAATGTAATGATGTCACCATGGAGACGAGCAGGAGGCGACTTATGCGCACATACAGTACCTTTCATTTTTCAGTCTTCTCTCAAGATTTAATAAGATCGAAAAATCTAATTAAAATTAAATTTGTCAACGAGTATTATTAAAAACACACATATACAACAGTTGTACATAGAGCACAGATAACAAGAGAAACATAACATTTAAATATAGAACAGTGTGATAACACAGAGAGGTGAGACAGATCCACTCAGACGTATGTTTGTGGATGAGTGAGTTTGACAAGACAACACAAAGGGACAAGTGGACAATGGCTTATGTTCATATGTGGATCCATGTCCAAACAACAAACTGCTGCACAGACCCAGAGGAGAAGGTATGACCACTATAGCCAGTGTTGGGAAGGTTACTTTTAAAATGTATTCCCCTGCAGATTACAGATTACACACCCTAAAATGTAGTTTGTAACATAATCCATTAAATTACTTAAAGTGAGTAACGTAATCTGAATACTTTGGATTACTTGATATTGTCATGCTTTTTAAAACTACATCCTGAAAATTCTTTTTTGTTCAGTCTTTACTTAACCAGATTAAAATATTATTGATAAAGAAATTATTTTTATATGAAATCACAATTATTTCCACCCTACTGTTAGTGTCATATTGTATTAGTTTAGTCCTAGTTTAGACCTGCTTTTAGTCCTACTTTTGTCCGGGTTTTGTCCTAGTTTTAGACTTGGTTTACACTTGGTTTAGTCCTGGTTTTAGTTCTGGTTTTAGTTCTGGTTTTAGTCCTAGTTTAGCCCAAAATGTGAAAATACCACCATGTAATCCATTTATTTCAACAAAGTAACTGTAATCCAATTACCACTCACTGAAAGAGTAACTGTAACTGAATACAGTTACTCATAATTTGTACTCTGATTACATAACTCTGGTACATGTAATCTGTTACTCCCCAACACTGGTTATAGAGTCAGGACTCAGTTCAACAGGAATCTATATATACTGATTAAACAGTGGAGGTCTAACCAAATACTATGTATGTGAAATCATTTTTATTGATGATGTGATAACATGTTCTTGCAGTGGCTCTCAAACATCTCACACCAAGTACCAACAAAGAAAAGATCTGGCTTTTTGAGGACCACCTCATGTGAACAGATGTCCCTCTTTATCCGAGACAGTCCCAGTTTTGAGCCTGTGTCCCCTGTACCAGCGGATTTATCCAAAACCAGTGATTTGTCTCAGTTTTATACAAGAAATATCCCTACTTTTGACCAATTTTATACCTGCCGACAGTAAAGAGAGGCATACATTGTCATTTGTTTAGGTAAAATACAGAAAAGCTGCCTAAAAATGACCAAAACACAAATAAAATGTGACTATACTGACTCACATTAGTGCAGAGTGCAGAACAATTTTCCTTAATTACGCACTTAATTCACAATTTTATTATTACAAACGACTTCAAACCAGGGATGACCCAGTTTTTTTATTTTGAAAATCTGGTCACCCTAGTTCCACCAGATCTAAACCAGGACTATGACATGACTATTCCAAGTCTAATCTAGGGCTAAACCATAAACTGTTGATAACAGGACTATACATGCCTCCTGAATTTCAGACTTCCGGTCATCACGCAATGCATACTGGGAAGGGTCCTCCGAAAAAGTGCATACAAAATGTTCTCTGCAAACTCAGGATGATTTCTTAGGCAGTCAAAGCTTTCGTTTTTCGTCCTTCCTGTGGATCAGTCCTGCCCATCACCTTCACCTTTCACTAGTGATGGACAAATGAGTCGGAGCTCTGGAGCACGTCTCGTTCTTTCTGAAACAAATCACTCTGAAGTACTGCCTTGGAGCTCGTCTCGCAGCAGCCGCTCACATGACCAAAGTGTGGAAGTGTCGGTCCCTCCCCCTACTGCTTCACTCTGTGTGTCGATCGCTTCATTGTATCGAAGCGTTTCATTGGCTCAGCGAATGTTCCGCTCTGCAATTGGTTCAGATGCTTCAGAGTGTTCAGTGCACTTCCGCGGTTTGACAAGCACTAAACTGCTACAGTATAAAAGATGCACCAATATTTGTTAAAAATGTTGGGTAGTGAGGAGGATTGTGTGACGTTAGTGGCGATTTTGTCGACTTTTGGCATTTGTTTCATTTTCGATCTAATTCCACCGAACAAGGTAAACTATTTTCTTATTTACAGCATGTTATTTATGTTGCTCTTTACATATTATTTTAAATCATGTTTAGATACGGTGTTTGCTCCGCACACAAGTATTGTCTTATTGTTAAATTTGTCCACTAGAGGTCAGTGTTTCTCCAAGGCCTCAGACACGTCCAACCATTTGAGACAATATTGCGCCTGAGGTGTCAATGCTTCACGAGGCTCCAGTCGCCCATCACTACCTTTCACTATGTTTCAGTTCCAAGGGAAACAGTTTGAACGGAGGTTTGCAGTTACTCACATCTGATTCCCTTTTGCAGTTATGAAGCATTTTGGATTCACACTCTCCAAACTTTAGCTCCAAAAGGACTCAATGATGATTTTAATCTTAGCATCTTTTTGTAGACATTCATGACGTCTCTCACTTCGAATGGGCTGTACATGGGCTATATTTTAAGATCCACTGTATATATAGATGTGTATATGTCACGACAGCATTATGTTATACTGTAGCTCTGTGAATATATACTATGTTTATATGAATCCAGATATTACTCTTGTTTTTCTATTATTATTCAATGATTTTTCTAGTAGGATTAATATTTCATTATTATTACTATGACAATGTATGTTGATTGGCTTTGTTTTTTGAATTATGGGGTTTTGTGTGCACTGTTTCTTTATGACCCTTAGGTGCTTGCCACACCCTATTTAAGATGGCCACCTGAGCTCTCATTCTGTTTGCCTGGCGAAGGTCCAGTGCCAAAACGTTGCATGGTTTGTCCTAATAAATCTCACAATTTGCAAGTAAATCGGTGTGCGGGATTTTTCTCTATGCAGTTATGGAGTTCACAAACTTCCGAAGCCCATTTCTCGAGCCATTTTCCGCTGTTAGGACATTCAACAACCACACAACTAACGATGTCCGAATCCCAAAACTAAAATATGACAATATCAGAACCAGAAACAAAAGTGATATGGTTCAAAAGACTGGAAATGATCGGCTTGACAATAGATGCATCCCACTGGGAAATCAAACATGGTGGTTTCATGTTCACTTTTTCGGAGGATCCTTCCCAGTATGCACTGCGGAAGTCCAAAATTCGTGATGCATGTATTCAACAACAGTGAACATTAATATTTTTGACTTTCGATTAGAGTTGTTGCGGCACAGTGAGGTCTGCATTAGCTGTAGCATCAGTTTCATCCTGTACTTAAACTCTGCAGAGCTCACGGTGTTTGCCTTTTGTCCTGATGCAAATGCAGAGCAGAGCGGCGGACAGTGTTGGGGAGTAACAGATTACATGTACTGGAGTTACGTAACCAGAGTACAAATTATGAGTAACTGTATTCAGTTACAGTTACTGTTTTATTGAGTGGTAATTGGATTACAGTTACTTTGTTGAAATAAATGGATTACACAGCGGTATAAATGTTTTCACATTTTGGGCTATATCCCTTTTTTTTTCTTTTTTTTTTTTTCAGTAATTCCACTCATTGCGGAAACTAAACCAGGACTAAACCAGGTCTAAACTAGGTCTAAATCCAGGTCTAGACCAGGTCTAAAACCAGGTCTAAACTAGGTCTAAACCAGGACTAAAGCAGGACTAAACCAAGACTTAACCAGGTCTAAACCAGGACTAAGCCAGGTCTAAACCAGGACTAAACCAGGTCTAAACTAGGTCTAAATCCAGGTCTAGACCAGGTCTAAAACCAGGTCTAAACTAGGTCTAAACCAGGTCTAAACCAGGACTAAACCAGGTCTAAACCAGGACTAAACCAGGACTAAACCATGCCTCAAACAGGATTTAACAGGACTAAATCCTGCTGTGTGGACGTGTCTCCTCCTCTTTTATCAATAATATTTTTAATTTGTTTAAGTACAATCTGGGCTTTTTATTTTCTTTTATCAGACAAAACATCTTAGGTTATGATATCCTGGTCTTCTTCAGATTATGTTACTCACTTTAAGTAATTTAATGGATTCTGTTACAAACTACATTCTGGAGTATGTAATCTGTAATCTGTAGGGGATTACATTTGAAAAGTCACCTTCCCAACACTAGTGGCTGACCTTCTGAAGAGCAGCTCCGTGGGCTTCTCTCTCTCACATATACTCCTGTGTGAGACCGCACTTCTGCTTTTAATGTCAAAACATTCGTCTATATGCCCCCTGTACACAACATTTAACATCGAACAATTCTGATCAACCCTTTAAGATATGTAGCCTCAACTAGTCAAAACACACAGAGCCTGCATCTATTGTTGTGTTTGTGCATTCAATATGAGCACAGTGTGTTCCTGGGGCAGTTCTGTGTTGTTTGAAAGAGCCCAGATCCAAAAACACTGTCAATTGAGGCTTTGAAATGTACTTTTGAAATCCCCGCATCTCCATAGTGAGCCTATACAGACAGTAAATACAAGTCAAGTCAGTTTTCAGTCAGTTGTTTTCACTGTAGACATGATACACACCCAGTCAAGTTTGATGTGTTTTCCCACTGAAAAACACAAAGCTGAATTGTGGACTTGTGGGTGACCAGACTCATATTTTGGGACTGCCCCAATATACAGTGTTTCTGCTGCTTCTTCTCCTGATGATGGCAAGAAAAATGATTATGATCTATGGCTGAAACCTGAGACACCGACCATTGATGAGAACAAACATTATGACATTTTGTAACTCTGTTAATGGAGTGGAACTCTGGAACAATGGTACAGAAAACCTAAAATTGTGCACCAGTTTCTTTCACTTTATAAAGAAGTTTAAATGTTTAACTCTGGACAGATGCATGAAATATGAGACTTAGTTTGTGCTGTAGAACTTTGTTGTTCTGTTTCTGATTTGTTTGTTTCCTCTTGCTCTATTTATGAAGATGAGCTGGTGTTAAGATGAAGCTCTGACAAAGAAATAAAGGGTAAAGGCAGAATAACCTTAAGCTTCAGCCGACACCTTTTCCGTCTGTGTATGTTAAATATGACTGTCTGTGAATTAATGTTAAAATATACCTGTGACCCAAATAATCAATCAATTAATCAAACCTTTGTCCCTATTTGTATGTAATCTTTGTAATCTTTGTAATCGTAATGTTTGTCTTGTACCTTGTATATTGTTTGGTTCCTATTTGTTGTAATGTATATAGTTTTCAAATAAAATTATATAAAAAAAAAAAGTCTTATTCTCAAACGTCTTCAACCAATCTAACTTTTGTCCAGTTGACAAACTGAATTTTCTCCTTGCCATGTCTTATTCTCAGTTTAGGTTCCGGCGTCATGTGAAGCTCAGAACCTCCAGAATTCCCTCCCTGAGCTGCAGAGGCTGCACTAGCACTGATTTAAGATTGGTGTAGGCGCAGTGATCATTAAGATCAGAGAAACTGGCAACCCAAATGACAGAGTCATGTGAGGCTCATTCTGATTTCTGATTGGCTAACTGTCTTGAGAAACAAAGCAACTAATTGTAACACACACAACATCACCATCATGTCCAGTGTTTTAGTAATTAAGAATGAATCACTATTAGAAGTGTTAAAAGAAAAGTAAATTTGATTTGAACATGTTTACCTCATATTTGGAGACACAGGTAGGTCATGTTCATAAAATTTTAAATCAAAATATTACACACAGAAAAATGTCTAAGTGTGTTTGCAAATAATTAGAAACATTATAGAGCAAAATGTCACATGGGATACATTGATTCTGAGTTTTGATGTGGTTTTGAAGTATTTCTAATCTCATGTACTGCTTAATCATTCAGCATCATCCAAAATAAATCTTCTAGCCTTTTACAATTTCCTCCACACTTCATTTCAAACTGTTATGTCTCATTTGAATAAAGTAATCAGTGTGTTTATAGGCACTTTCCTCTGACATTTCTGTTTATTCAGACTTCATGACTCAATACAGCAACACCATTGATGACCTATAAAACAGCCCCTGCCTCACACAAAGACCCCACTGACAATTACCGACAATTTAGGAGCGCAAATGTCACGCAGAAAGAGCAGAGCCATTCCACGATTTCACGCGAGCAAAATGAGCCATCAGCAAAACACGGATGCACAAAAGTTACATCACCCCACTTCATGTTTGATTTGAATCTGAATACAGATCAATTATCTTCACTTTTGGTTAATTCAGTGGGAGCTTTGTAAAGTTGACAAGCCCTTTTAAGCTTTTGTTTGTAATAGTACAACGCAGCAATCTCCTACACAGCACTCTATCTATCTACATTAGTTCAAATGACTAGAACTCAGAATATTAAAGCAGCACTATGGAACTTTTCAGGAGGACGGTGTAGGCCTTTTTCACAATGGCCAGAAGTATCCCGCTGTAGGTTTGCAGAACTTTCGGTTAATGGTTTTCTGTGACTAAATGTGTGTATAAATGTGTGTCATATTCTCCTGCAGCTTCATAAATCTGCCCCATCAACAAATCTTCAACCAACAAACTCCACAAAGAATAAACATTCTAACATGAACAATTTAGCTACAACTATCAAGAGAAGAAAGACCAAAACTTAAAGGAAACAACGACCACACATTAGTGACACACTGAACAAAACTAATGTTATGGTCCTAGAGATGTCTCGCATTTGAACTGCACAAATCTGTCTATGTTAATATCAACATCATAAAATAGATTTTTAATTGTAGAATCAGTCTGAGTGAACAAGTTGCTTCTGTTTTATTCATGACCATAACATTAGTTTTGCTTAGTAGTTCACTAATGCGTTGTCGTTGATAGTTGTGGATAAATTCTTCATGTTAGAATGTTTCTCCTTTGTGGAGTTTGTTGGTTGAAGATTTGGTGATGGGGCAGATTTATGAAGCTGCTGGAAAATATGACACACATTTACACACATTTACACACAAAACCATTAACCGGAAGTTCCACAAACCTAAAGTGGGGCACTTCCGGCATCTGTAAAAAAATATTTATAGCACCTGCTTGAATCCATGGATATGTTGTTGCTTTGCCGTGAATGTCCATATTTAATTTACCTGTCTCCATGTTGACAAGGCCACAGGCAAAGTGACAGGTCAGAGCTGCACAGTGATAGATATGTTGAATGCCGCACTGTGGAACATTCCAGGCAATGTAATAACATCTCCATGGAGACAAGCAGGTATTGGACCCTCTGCCAGAAAAAAGTTTGCAGCTCTAACCTCCGTTTCCTTCATTTTGATAAGACAAGTTAACTAATAATCATGATGATATAAACAATAATACCAAAAGCATTTCTGTTGATACTTTGCAGTGGCATCACGCCGGGGGTGTTCTGCATGTATGTTTACGTCAGATTCCATAGTGACACAATGCACACATCAGCAAGCACTGACAAGAAAAGTTTCAAGATGGTCTGAAAACTCAAGAAAAAACACAAGATGGATTTAAAGAGCACATTTTCAGGAGCCTGAGATCAATATAAGCATTCATGCTCGTGTTTAGGTGTTTGATTTTCAACAAAAAAGTGAAAGTGACTAATAAAGCCTCAGACACAGCAGTGTCTGCAGTCTACATTCCCCAAGGAATGTTAATGACATCAACAGTAGTCTCCTTACACAGCCAAAGAGCAACATTATGCTCATTCAGTCTCATTTAAAGCCACAGTGTGTAACTGTAACTGTAACTCCATGGAAACCACACTTTAGAACATTCTCCATTGAGACAGATGAGATTTATGCCATACTATGGAATATTTTAGCCTATAGGTTCTCCTCCAGGTCAAATAAGAGTCAGGTTTGTGGAGATGTGAGCCCTCTCACAGTAAAGACATGTTTTTCAGTCCAAGAAACATCAACACCATCTATCCTTTTTGTGCTTGGCTGTTCAAATGACAATGCAAACACAGTAATGTTTGTGTCACAGAGATGCATATACTATACACACACACACACACAGACGCGCACACACACGTTACATAAACAGACTGTGAAATGCCATGGACTTTGATGGGAGGAAGTGGCATTGGTGATAAGAGATGACACAATCTGACATTTGCTGTAGACGTGTGGAAATGGAGAGACAGGTGAGACAGGTGAGACAGGTGAGACAGGTGAGACAGGTGGACAGGTGGACAGGTGGACAGGGACACAGATAGTGGGATGGACAGGTGCAGAGACAGGCTTTACCCCATGAGGCTCCTGTAAGCAGTCCCATCCAGAAGACAGAGGACAGAGGACAGACAGGCAGAGAGATAAGACACGAGCTTTGATCACAACCGGACACAAGTGTTATAAAGAGCAGCAGCACTGGAAATACACAAAATCTACTCACAACATTTGCATCACATAAAGCCGGGATTTTAAAATGTCAAATTTTAACTTCTGATAGTTTTCACTCACGATCAAATGTATTGTGCTATGAGTAATAAACTAATAATATAGTAGTAGTGTAAATTCATTCATTTTCTCCTTATTTTTTCATACACAACAAGTGAACAATACATGGTTAAAAAAATAAATAAATAATAATAATAATAATAATAATAATAATAATAATAATAATAATTATTATTATTATTATTATTATTATACATTATAATACGTTAAAAAAGTAATGATACAAAATTTGAATATTTAATAACATTTTGGTTCATTAATACTGTATTGATAAAAAACAATTTATTATTCATCCAACATACTTCTTTCACAGTAGACCAAAAGTTTAATTTGCTGTTATTAATATTAAAGTAATTTTGGCATTTCATAAAATACAACCTGCTCATTAACCAAAAGTAAAAGTCCTGACAGTAAAATGAATACAAAATGAACAGAACTCTATCAAATATAAAATATCTAAAATTGCATCTGTGTGAAGAGTGAATAACTTACGAGCAGGCGAAGGCCACCAGAGCTCCACTGACCACGATGAAGTCCAAAATGTTCCACAGGTCTCGGAAATAAGAGCCGGGATGGAGCAGCAGGCCTAGGTCGATCATCTGCACACACACACACACACAGAGACATGAGCCTGTGCTACTAGTCCAGGTCTGCTTTAAAACTGGTTTAGTCCTGCATTAGACCTCATTTGTTCTTGTCATTTAGTCTGGGCATAATACTGGTCCAGGCTTGGATTAGTGCTCATGATTTAGTCCTGGTCTAGTCTTGGCTGTGACCTAGTCCACGTTGGCAGTGAGTGGGACTGGTGGATAGCGGCATCGTACCTAGTTGAGTCTTGGATGAGTTGTGGATTGGATCTTCATGACATTTTCACATCTGTTAGTCCAGTTAAGTGCTTCAAAGAGGAGCTAAAACTGAGACCTTGTTGCAGTTTTCATTTGGTGCAGATTCTCACATACTTGAGCTAAAAGAAACTGACCCAAGAGAAAACAGAAGACACCCTTCGCCTGAGGTGGCACCGCATTACGAATTTAGCAGGAAATAACAACAAAGTAGAAACAGCGTTCAAACATTGGCCAGAGGAAAGTCCCTGATGAGGCGCTGGAGCAGGAGACATTTCAGTGACTTCAAGTGAACAAACCACAGACTTATGACAACTTTATTATGACTGCTGGGAAAATAATAATAATAATAATAATAATAATAATAATAATAATAATAAAGACGTGTATCATGGTAATACACATAGACTGTACGAGAGAACGAGAACGCGGCAGTGGTGCTGTCAATCAAACACTAGCTGGAGTGACCTCAGGGAAACTAGGCGCTGGACTGTTCTGTTATTAATGTTCATATGTTAATTTAGAGACAGAATAATGAAAGGGGTTAATATGAACCTTTTAAGTCCAAAATGACGCATGACAGCAGCAGTTACAGAGAGACGGGGCAATGTTTTTTCAATCATTTATATACAGTCTATGGTAATTCGTGACTGTACAGAGTGTTATATATTATACCAGGCTCAGTCCATGGAAATGTTGTGGGGATTAGCCTTGGTGTTTCAGAGGTTGGTCTCTCTGTACAGTTTCTTTAATGAACTGTACTTGCAGTTGGTCCAAATTCAAGTCTTCTTAAAGCAGACCAAATTCTGAAGGTGTGAGAGCGCCCCCTAGTCAGGATTCTAGGTTTGTTCTCCTGGTTAACTCCAGACATAGTCCATGTTTCTACACAGCCCAGTCTTTGGTTGTTCTCCTGGTTTAGTTCAAGTCCAGGTTCATTCCAGTTGGACTAGTTGTAGTTTAGACTTGGTTCAGTCCTGGTTTAGACATTTTTTTGCCAGTATTTAGCACAATTAGGTTGACCAGATGTTCCTTTTTACCGGGGACAGTTCCAGTTTTGAGCCCTGTGTCCCCTGACCCAGCAGATTTATACAAAACCACTGATTGGTCCCAGTTTTATACAAGAAATGTCTCAGGTGTCCCTATTTTTGACCAATTAGATCCCTGTCAACAGTGAAGAGAGGCATATGTTGTCATTTGTTTATGTAAAATACAGAAAAGCTGCTTAAAAATGATGAAAATGTGACTATACTGACTCATGTTAGTCATGAATAAATCATGAATAGGCTGAGTGCAGAATAATATTAACAATATAACTGCTCACTCGTTTCAGTTTTATTATTTCCAATCACCCAAAACTAGGGGTGCCCCAGGTTTTTATTTTGAAAATCTGGTCACCCTAATCATAATAACACATCCATCTGTAACGTCTTCATCCATGTGTACAGGAGAATCAGTTCCCTGTAGTCCACTTGGCTGTGTACGGCAACTGTTATTTCTTGTATGTTATTTATTGGCTCTAAGTGCTGCATCTGAACACACAGACAGCAGAACTCATGAGGGAGCTGTGGACTCAAAGAGCACTTAAACAAGCTAACATGCTTTATTTACTCACAGAACAAGCCTGCGTCCTTTACAGTGCATGAAATATGAATTCAGATCATGTTTGCTTCTTCATACAGCACATTATGTAACGGCGTTCTGAGAAAATAGCCACTTTGTGTTGTAAACAGGAGCCTCCGCTGCACTCATATGTTAATGAAACATATGTAGAAGATGTGACACAACAGGCCACTGAACCACCAGAGACGGCACTAGTGTATATGACAGGTTAGACTACTCATTCCACTAAAACATATCGTAAACATACCTTGCCTTTATGTCTGTTGAAGTTCCATATATGTTCCATATCTGTTACCTATCAACAATCACATCAAGAGCCAAAGACTGAACTGTAGAACTGTCTGAACTGCAGTTCCTGTTACATTAAAAATATAAATGTTAAAAACTTGATTATGTTAAAGGGTCACTAAACACCAAAATCACTTTTTTCTACTGATGATCTGTGTAAATGGGTCTAAAATAGAAGTGTATCTCTATCCTTTCTTAACTGGTTCGCCTGTATTCAGCCTCACATCTTACTATGTGTCGTTTTATGTATTTTACCGTGTTTGTGTGTGTTTGTGTGTGTTTGTGTGTGTGCGTGAGTGCATGTGTGTGTGTGTGTTTGGGTTGTCTGGTTGTGTGGGGTCGGGCAGGTGTGGGGGTTGGGTTGGTGGGTGGGTGGATGGAAATGTGGGATTGTTTTTAATCACTGTAAAGCACTTTGTGTTACAGTTTTGTATGAAAAGCACTTTATAAATAAAGTTTGATTTGATTTGATATCCCTGGCCTTATTATGGCATTTATTGCAGATTTGGACTTTTGGGTCAAAGTCGTGTCTGTAACATCCTCTTTAGGCAAGGCAAGTTTATTTGTACAGCACAATTCGTACACAAAGTAATTCAAAGTGCTTTACAGAATAAGAAATACATTAAAATCATAATAAAAACAAATCAAAACATAAATAATCATAAAGATTAAAATTAAAAAAGAGAGACATAAATTGGAGAGAAGAGTGCGCAATGAAAACTTTTCAGTTATTTGCACAGTTAAACAGAAATGTTCTGAGTCTGGATTTAAACAGCGTCACAGAAGAGTCTGTCTCACATGTTCAGACTGTTCCAGGTTTTAGCTGCATGAACCTGAAACTCTGACTCCCCTTGTTTAGTTCGTGACTCTGGGCACCAGCAGGAGGTCAGTCCCTGAGCTCCTCAGAGTGTGAGATGTTCATATGACACTAACATGTCACAGATGGACTTTGGTGCTCGGCCATGGAGAGACTTGTACAAGCAGAGCTGCTTTAAAGTCTCTGAGCCACAGGAGCCAGTCCTGAGCACAGGACTTATGTGCTCGTACTTCCTGATACAAAGTTTGGTTGCGGTGGACTGATATATGAGAAAATAGTCCCTCAACATGCGACGATTCATGGGATGCAAGGTTAGTTTTATTTCAAACATTATTCTATCAACACAGACATTCACATGGACAGTCTGGTGTAATAATAGATTAGTTTCGGGTGTTTTGTGGAGTGGGTAAGACTGTTTTTAGTGGCAGGAAAACTATGACCATTGACATGCACTAGTCTAAGGAAAACGAAGCACAACGGTCCACGCCGTGTTGGATTGTTTTGGCTGTTGGTCGGCTGTCAATCATCGCTCCAGAGCCCCGCCCCACACCTGCTCCCCCCCAACCCGCCGGGCTCCACCCCTCTGGAGGACTTTTCAGATTCTGCTTAGGGCTGGAGTAAAGCTTTGAGAGGGTTTAATGGCTCTTTAAATGAAGGTTTAAACACACATACAACATAACAAACACTATTTAACGAAGTGGACTAAGAGACTGTGACATCACCCATAGAGTTCGCCAACAGTCAAATGAAGCTCATGAGGCTAGCAGTTATAGGGGCAAATTTGGAGCTGAGTTCCATATAAGGAATAGGAAAATAAACAGCAAAATCACGTTGAGCGGATTAATATGAACATTTTAAGACCAAAATGAAGAGTGTTCTGTTGGAAAAATGTAACTCGATATTTCTGTGCACCAGCTCAAACATCAAAATATTCTGATGAGAGCAGCTGCTGGAGGTTATGTGGTCAAGTACAAGCTAACCAGTTTCATATTTTTTGGAGTGGTCCCTCTGTGGCTCCATTTTGGAGATGAGTTCATGGGGTACTGGAGGTGGTCTTTAAAAGGAATATACAATATCATTTTAAAGTAATGTATTTTGGAGATTTAGTTTTATTGCACCTTTCTAAAGCAGATTTATACCTAATGAGAGTATTACTGGTGGCTGCCAAAAAAGGAATAACTCGAAAATGGCTTAGACAGGAAACGCCTACGATAAATTAATGGATTGACTTGATATATAATATTTTTTTTTAAATGGAAAGGATTACATTTAAGATGAAGCTAAAGAGTGATATATTTGAAACCTATTAGTCAAAACGGTTGAAGTATGTAACGAGAAAAAGACCCGACTGTGTATGACATAGACAGTGTTGGGGAGTAACAGATTACATGTACCGGAGTTATGTAATCAGAGTACAAATTATGAGTAACTGTATTCAGTTACAGTTACTGTTTCAGTGAGTGGTAATTGGATTACAGTTACTTTGTTGAAGTAAATGTAGTCTAAACCAGGACTAAACCAGGACTAAGACAAGGTCTAAACTAGTTCTAAACTAGATCTAAACCAGGTCTAAAACAGGTCTAAACTAGATCTAAACCAGGACTAAACCAGGACTAAAACTAGATCTAAACCAGGACTAAACCAGGACTAAAACTAGATCTAAACCAGGACTAAACCAGGACTAAAACTAGATCTAAACCAGGACTAAACCAGGTCTAAAACAGGTCTAAAACCAGGTCTAAACCAGGACTAAACCATCCTAGTCTTTGCTTCTCTACAGCAAATCAAGTAATCCAAAGTATTCAGATTACGTTACTCACTTTAAATAACTTCATGGATTACGTTACAAACTACATATTGGGGTGTGTAATCTGTAATCTGTAGGGGAATACATTTGAAAAGTAAACTTGCCAACACTGGACATAGTTATGTCTATATAGCTACTCCCACTGTCTTGTTTCGTTTTGTTTTGTTCTTACTGTTTGAATGTTGCCTATTTTTAATGTGTGTCCTTATACAAGATGAAAATCCA